TGTAGGAAAAAAAAAGAAAAAAAGGAAGCTATGTAATTCTTCTCCCCGAATAAATTTTTCAAGTTACGAATTAACGCTTGTATGATACAGAAACATATAAATGTACTCAAAAAAATCTTTCACTGTCCGTTACCATCATACAAGAATTGCTGGCTTTTTAATTTAGAGAACAGAAATAAAGAACCCCTTGTTTGTCAACCCTTACCTATGACGGTTACCAGCTTATCTAAAGTTTTGTCTTTTCAAAATTCATTGTTGCTTATATTCTTGACCACGACTGTTAGGGAAGTTCTGACCGTTTGACCTTGGATGAACTTTTCGCGTCGATTGTTTAATGTTAACATATTTTCAGAATTCTAGGGTTCCACTTGCGTGACCATAAGTCTATTCTGTACAATTGCATTTCTCGTAACAGTATCAAATCTCATGTAGGCGCTACCTTCTGAATTATAGGAGTTCGGATTTTAGACACTGCTAGGCAATACTACTAACATGTGGTCTCAAGGTAATGATTTAATGAAAGATAGAAGTTAATTGTGTGGCACCGTATCAGTTGTGTTGGGGATTTAAGTATTAGACATTTACATGTGATTTTTGTCATATCTTAAAAAAAATCAAAAAAAAATAAATCTATATCATAGAAACTTCGCGCAAAGTTGATAAGATTTTGTTCTATGATTCGGGAAATGTTCTTAACAGGCAAATGGATACATTTGCACATTCAGCTGCATTAAATATGTGTATTTGTTATCCCCTTTTTCTGTTTACAAGACGCAATCATGTGTTACATACTACGCTGATAACACATGTGGACTAAGTCTTTTTTTCATTTCGCATTGTGGCCGCGACAATCATACTGTGCCCCCTACTGGAGCAGACTACCTCTCTCCAGTGTATTGGAGCATCTCTCTCCAGTCTTTTGGAGCCTCTCCCTAGATTCCCTGTGTAAGTCTAGTTTATCAAAACTCATAGTACATATCTTATTAACTATTCATGAACCCGTACCACCCCTTGTGCATATATAATTAGGCCCGTGCGACAATTTAAACCAACTTCTAATCTAACTTTCCCCTACCAAACTAACAATACTTAGATGTACCATATGGCAATGACAGTTACCCCTGTCTGGTTTGGGGAGTTCACACTCTCGTTATTATCTCTATGTCATCCATGACGGACCTGATCGCCACTAGATGGATAGCCCTGCAGCATTGTCTTCCATTCTACAGCCCCTGTCAGTCACTGCACAGTGTTACTCAAATCCTAATATTTGACCTCAAATGTTATATATACTTTTGACCAAAGTGCTGCTCTCTGTTGATACCCACTATGTTACATGTCGTAAGATGGTTCCATTCTTTATCATAAACTTCCCGCATTATCGGTCTATTTTGTTCCACATGTGATTGTACCAATGGTTATTGCTACAGTATGCAAACATGAATAATACACTGCACTAAACAGCTGCTTCGTCCTTCGAAAATCATCGGTGGTGGTAGGGATTAATATAAAAGCCCCTGAATTGTCCACAAATCAATGTCGATTCCGCTACGCTGTAAACGTATATATGTACCGAAATGATTCGATTAATTAATTAAACAAGGCGTAGCTGAATCGAGTCATTTCGGTACATATAAAACAACAAATTGTACATTACGCTTACAGCTTGTGCAGGAGTACTGCTTTACTGCTGTTGACCAGAATATTCAGACGATAAGAGCATTATTATCGCGATCAGAGGTACAGGGTTTGAATCCTGGTCTGGCCATGTTTTGCAACACTGTAACACAGTTGTTGATTTTTTTCTCGGGAATGATTTAATAAAAGCCATATGTATGCTGATACTAGATGTTAACGATACACACTATATTGTAAAGCAGCGTACATGTATCCGTAACCCCGCAGACTGTAAAATAATCAGATTAAATTCATATCCGTTCAGGGTATTTCATAAGGTTATAGTTTGCAAAACGTCCTGGAAACAATGTTAACAAAATATTTATATTTTCAGGTATTTTGTTCGCGTATGACTATTGTCATTGGTTGATAAAGTGCGGCAAATTTAAGCGAGTTATTTGCCTGTGCTTATACAGTGTTCAAACAAAGTTCATCAAAAGGCAAAAAAAAAAAAAAAAAAAAAAAAAAGCAATGGAAGATATTAACTTTTATTCATGAATATCTTCTCAAAAATGAAATTGATGTTTTGACCAAAGATCCCATCTTCATAAGACTGGTTTAATACGAATTTATTGCAAAATGTTGTCCTTGATTGATTTATATTGATAAGGGATGTGTGGCTTATGCTTCACTGGTCATTTGTCTGATGAAGGTGACATACTGTACTAGTCATCGAAACGTCACATAGAAACAATTATTGGTTGTGTTACAAGAATCTTTTCATAATCCATACTTACAAACCAGAAGGAAATGTTTAGAAATATCCAATTGCGACAGTATAGGACTGTTATAGATCCTGAAATCTGGAGGAATTGATCCCTCAATTTCTCGTGAATTTTCTTCCAATTCAAGATAAGCAGACAATAAATAATGCAATTCATCCTTGACACTCCAGGTTTACGCTCACTTTCGCTCTCTGCACCTGGAATATGTCATAGACAAATTGAAGGCTCAGTTTACACCACCTTGTGGACGAGACAAGAAGACTATTTAGATCCTTTGATGTTCAGTCGGGTGTGGTTCCTTTGTAATCTAAAGTACAGGTATTATTTTTTACCTGCGACCAATCATACAGCTATTTTCGTGCCTTCAATTTTGCTATGACATATTCCAGGGGTGCAGAGAGCAAAAGTGAGCGTAACTCCTGGAGTATCGAGGTTGAATGCCATAATACTTGCGTTACAGTATGGGATTCACTGGAGCGGCGATCGAAAAGATCCTAAACACCACGATAAGGTGAGTCCAAATCAATCTGTATGCAAGTAACTGTAAACAACATATGATAAGTTTTCACCTGGTTTTATATGAAAAGGTGTATTCTCAATTTTTGTCTATAAGACACAGAGCATGTCACCATGGGGAGGTTATATATAAGTTTGATATAAACCGATTAAAATCTCATAAATTAATGCATATATTACAATCATAGTATACACTTCTTTTATCTAAAATGTACATAAATATAAACAAAAAAATATTTAATGTCGACACTAACTTTCAATCAATAGACATTTTTTCCTAAACTGGATTGATCTAAAGACTTGAAATGCAGAAAATGACAATTTTCCATGACGTTGAAATCAACAAATTTTCCGCGAACGAGCCACAATTGAGTACAACAACAAGATATGGAGACGGAGCTAATGAAAGCACATGCAAATTTCAGGCTTTTACTTTTACTTAACCGATCACAAGTTACAAAGTTTTGGAAATGAAATTTGTTTGAATCAGACTAATTTTTGAAATAATTGTGAAGCACTCACAGACATAAGGATGGTGGTCTGCATTGGTCAGGTTATGAGGTAACGTGAAAACTTATCACAGACGGTTCATCTATAAAATGTACACGTACTCAACCGCAGTAATCGCCTGATGTCCTGATCGAAATAGATAACTCTTCTTTAAATATACTTCCAGAGAGCTTAAGTGCATACAGAATAATTAGGGTATGCACACTGAATATAGCTAACATTATCTGATTTCTCTAAGCGGATTCATACATTTTGCGCATCATTCTTTTCTTTTTCATAGCTCAATTATACTAAATAAAAGGTCTCAAATCATAGTAACGTCATGGATATCTTGGCAGGGACTGTTATTCATAAATAGCTCGTTGGTGTACGCGTTTTCAATTTTAACAAGCTGATATATAAACTTGCATTTATAGTTTCAGCACCAAGGGCTCCATGGCAATGGTATTTATCGGTTTACTGTAAACGTGTTCTAATGGCTTCTGTAGTAATAAGACAGTGGAACATATCCTGAGACGAAAAATCCTATTGTTACAATAAATACGTTCAAACAGTAATTACTTTGTTTGCCGTCACTGCTGCATCCTCGATATCCAGGGGTTACGCTCATTTTCGCTCTCTACACCCTGAAAATGTCATAGCAAAATCGAAGGCTCAATGTGCAGCACCTTGTGGACGAGACGAGAAGACTAGTTTGATCCTTTGATGTACATCACAAGAATCTCACGGTCGCGTAACGGTAAAAACTGACAGGTTTTGAAGTTGGGCATCGCTCCTTTGTAATCTTCAAAGGACGAGTATCAGCCTAGTGATTGGTCAGGTTTTTATTACCTGACACCAATCAAATAGCTGGCTGTGTGCCTTAAATTTCGCTATGACATATTCCAGGGGTGTGGAGAGCGAAAGTGAGCGTAACCCATGGGTATCGAGGATGTCACTGCTGCTATTTGATCATCAACCGGCGCTGGAGTAACATTAAAAAGTTACCCAAGTAGAAAACATCCCCGTGGTCATTTTTTCGAACCCCGGTAAGGTTTTATGCAGGGGTAAAGTTTTCACGTTACACCGGTATTAAAAAGAATATGCTGTTGCTCATGGTATAAGTACATCCTATGTGACCGGGCGGAATGCTGTGCTGGGTGCCTTCGGCATGGCATTTCAGTGAGATAGCACTGTTAAGTCGGCATCAGATCCGCACTATCACAAGGAGGCAAGACCATCAACATACCCTGTCTCCTGCATACACACACGCAAGCAAGCATACACTACACGCATGGAGGCACGCCATTAAATGACCTTAGCTGTTAATAGGACGTTAAACAATAAAAACCAAACCAAACCAAACCAAACCTCTGTTAATGTTACACACAAGGATGAGCAGGGGTCATAACTCGTCATAATATTCCCGGTTCTATCTTTATATCGATAAAAATGCATTCATATCATATTAACATCATTATCATGTCAGACTTTCAGACCTGTTATTTGTCGATAACGATAACTCATTTGGTGTATATTGCGATGTTTCAAATTTCGACAAGCGGATACATAAACTTAAAATTCTTGTTTCAGCATGATGATCGTGATGACGCTGTCGAGAAACGTCGCCGCCACCGCCAGCGCCACACTTGGGTAATAGAATAATAGCAAATATCTTTGTTACGCTATTCACTGTAATAGAAACAAAACTATTTTAGTAGGTAAACATCAGCAACATTGCAAAGTATGTCCTTTTTATAGTTACACTTTACATGGTTAGTATTGTGACTTGATCATCAACCAATGTCGATACTAAATGATACGTTTTTTATTCACATTTTCATTTCTGGAATATAAACATGTATATATTCCAGAAATGAAAATGTGAATAAAAAATCGTATATACATGTATATTATCTTTTCTTTCCTTCTTTCTCATTTCTGTCACTTATCAGCTTCTTTTTATCCTTTTATCCTTCTTTCTTCCTTATAGCAATACAGTGTGATATTAATTTAAATAATACCTCTCCATATGCAGTCTTCAGTGATACAATTTTTGTTTGCATAATTTGTATGGTATGAGTGGTGATATGAAAGATGAATGGTGACAAATATGTTATTATATGATCTGAATGAATTACTGATCCTTTATTATTGTCACTGTATTAAAAAAACCTCTTTTGAAAATAAAAGAGAAATTGACTTTAGAACATCGGAGTCTGGAGAAGATTTTGAAATATTAGTTAATTTTCCTTTTGAGGCCCCGCCATGGCTCCTGAGGTTAGGTTAGGAATCCCGATTTTGCAATTTTGTAGCCTCATCTACCAAGGATGAATCCACTGGTTCTTGAGAAGAAGTTTACGCACGACGGACGACGGACGACGGACGACGGACGGAAAGCGATCAGAATAGGTCATTCGAGCAAAGCTCAGGTAACCTAAAACCCCTTCTGGTTGATAACCCACATGTTGTGACATAGGATATCTAGCCCCACTTAAATCATCACGGACAAATCTTGAACTACTGTAACTACTGCTAGCGATTTCGGTAGCAGAAGAGTCAGCAACAGGTTGTAAAGAATAACCATTGGATGACCATTTTGTGTCAAGGTGGGGAATGATGAATTTTAATGTGTTTTATGTAGATTTTATAACTTAACAACGCCATTGTATCAACATTATAGAAAAGCCAAACGGTTATACATTTTTTTTGTTAATGCTTACCTCAAAGAGGAAAAATATGTAAAGGAACGGTTATACCAAAAAACAATTAATCGTTGCGTCATCTAGCAAAGGTTAGAGATTAAAAATAAAATCCAAAAGAATACTGGAATATAATTGATACAGGTTGTTCCAAAAAAATACTTGTAAGACTGGTATTGAAGATCTCTTTAACTTTTTCAACTCATGTTTTAACACAAATTTTGAAGGTGAGGATAATCATGTGTTTTCTATTGATGAGCTTACTGAGCTGTCAAAACTTGAAGCTAATGCTTTTATAAAAGAGCCAATACTGCCGAACGAAATAATGAAATGTGTCAAAATGTTAAAGAATAATAAGGCTGTTGGTGACCACATGCTATGTAACGAATATATTAAGTCAACCATTGATTTAATGATGCCATTATATGTTGAATTATTCAACTATATTTTTAACACTGGTCACGTGCCTAAGACCTGGCTCCTGGAAAACATCATCTATGTTTTTAAGAACAATGGTAGTTTGTATGATGCCACTAACTATCGTCCAAATACTTTGGTTAGCTGTCTAGCTATATTGTTTTTAGCTGTAATTGATGAACGATTAAATAAATATGCAGATAATGTAGAACTCATTCTCGAAAATCAAGCAGGGTTTCGAAATCACTCCACTATTGACCATATATTTTCACTTCATGCATTAATTGAACTTTCAAAACATTTAAAAAAAAGAATTATATTGTGTCTTTAAAGATTTTGAAAAGGCTTTTGATAGTGTTTGGAGAATAGGTCTTTGGAACAAACTTTTGGTTAATAATAAAGATGGAAAAAAAATCCGAATTATTACAAATATGCACAATGACATTAAGGCTAGAGTGATGAAAGATGGCGTATTCTCGAATGTATTCCCATGTAGTTCTGGGCCCGCATTCATGATACCGCTCTCGCGCTCAAGCATGATTTCTGTGCTCAAACCAACTTTCTTGTAACTCGCTTAAATCATATCAAACGATCAAAAAGTCAAAAATAAACATTGAAAACAGTTTTCGTCTTCAAGTCTCTTCAAAATTTTCCCAAATCATTTACAAAATAATATTTACTTATTAATCCATAGCCGTAACAAGAAATTCGGCTTGAGCACAAAATCCATGGTTGAGCATGAGAACGGTTTCATGAATACGGGACCATGGGTCCGTCAAGGCGATAATCTTTCCCCGTTTTTATTTTCACTTTTTCTTAATGATTAAGAAGATTTTATGAAATCACGTGACTGTAAGTGTCTGTCTGATATAAACGACCAGCTAGCGGAGGAATTACATGTATATCTGAAGCTTTATGTTATCCTATATGCTGATGACACTATATTACTATCAGACACGGCAGAGGATTTGCAAAAGCAATAAGATGTAGTTTTTGTATTTTCTACTCTATGGCATCTTAAAGTCAATATCAGCAAAATTAAAATCATTGTACTTGGTAGATAAAGAATTCCTGATGACCTTAATTTCACATACAACGGTACTGTTATAGGAATAGCTAAGGCTTTTAAATATCTTGGGGTTTATTTCACTAAATCTGGTTTGACACAATTTAATATCAAACAACTGTTAGCAATTTTATCAAATTATGAATTATCTTGGCTAAAATATGTGAAAAGTATTTTTGAAGAATGCAGTCCGATACATATATCCAATAGTCAAGAGTTTCCAAGTATACATAGGCTAAAGTACCATATTTTATAAACTAAACGGAAAATGTATATCAAACTGGAGAAATGAAATGTATACCTCTCCGAAAGGAATCAATTATAGAATATATAAGTACTAACTTTGTTTAAAAAAGTGCTTACTAGAACTCCCTCCGAAACTAGACAAAGCGTATTCTAAGTTTAGAACAAGTAATACTAAGTTACCAATTGAAAGTGGCAGTTGGTCCAATATACCAAGACGTGAAAATAGATTATGTAGTTTATGTTGTTTAAGAGAAATTGGCGACGAACTTCATAATCTGTTTACATGTACACATTAACCGGAGTACCCGGAAAAACCCATGTGGTTGGGCAGGTGACCCCATACCTTTTCACGTCTGATCGGGGAATCGAACCCAGGCCGCCTTAGTGAAAGGCAAATGTGCTATCCCCTGCGCCACCCGCGCACCCATAACTGGTGCGGTAAGTACTCTTTCACCTGTATCTATAAAAAGGTAAAATATATAATCTTCTGTACACTTAATTATAATACATGTACGAAATATTAAGTTAAAACGATAAATCAACCTGGCTACACTTTAATGTCTGGTCATAAATGTGCCCTCTCGTCTCGATTCAGAACAGTACCTGCCACTTGAACAAATTGCTCTATCTGTATAAATATATTGTAGTTATCCCAAAAATAACATGAGATTTGCTGTATGGCATGGTCTGTTCATCATAAAAAAGGAATGCACCGAATAATATTTCATAGCTTACAACAGAAATTGATATTAAGCGCCATCAAGAAAACTGTATTTAAGCGGTGTATAGCTAAGATGCAAGGCTATTAAATATTTCTAATTGCTGACTTTGACCTCTATTCAAGGTGACAGGCAATGTAGTTTAGAGAATAGTAATATGACTAGGACAGTAATTAATATGAATGAAAAGTTATCATGGAAGTTTAAGATCCAACAGCTATATATAGATTGATCGGCTTTCCGTATCTACATGTAATATTTAACTGGTGATTCGACGTATTTCTTGTGATCATTCTGTGTGCGAGCCTTCGATTTTGTCAGAAATTCAAATGCTGTAGAAAAGTTAAATCAACGTTATTCATTTAATTAATTTTGGTTTCGAAGATGAGGTATAAAACCAACAGTGAATAAGTACTGGATAGGATGTCCATTATACACGTATCAGAGCATCTTGTGGAATAGTGCCCTTGTTCCCGTCCTCGGAATTCCAGGGTTATACCTCACTTAAACTTACGTTTTCTGCAGCACTGGAATATATGTCATAACGAAATTGAAGGCTCTGTACCGAAACCTTGTGGACGACACAAGTAGATTAGTTTAATCCTGTGATGTTCCTTAAAAGAATCACTCAGCATCTTAGCAGTATTATTTTCCGACTTTGAGGTCGGGTGTCCCTCCTGGAATCTTTAAATGACAGGTATCAGCCTAACAACTCAAAAATTGTTCATCGCCATTAAAAAAAAAAAAAATCGAACTAGAACTAGTCGTTTGAGCTTTATCTAGATGCATTTGTGCAAGTAGCTGTATCTAAGAAAATATAAAAACACAATAAAAAATGACAAAAGAGAGGGATCTTTGTGCCCACCATTGTACCATCTTCATTAGTTCTTTGTCAGTTTGATCTTTTCTCTTCTTTTTTTTTATCTGTTTTGTCGAGTCATGATCACAGTAAATGCACGTTGAGGTAACTTTTGATCTAAACTTAATACTGCTGTGTATATAAGACAACCTTCAAAGTAAGATTGTTGTTTCACATATTTACTGGAAATCTAACCAATCATTGCAATATGAGAAAGATCTATTAAGTTGTTCCCTCAGGCATCTTGTTTTTTTATGATCACTCTCAAAATAAAACATGTAAAACTGAGGATCAAGGGGAACCTACATATCAAATTTATTAAGATTTGTCAGGTTTTTCCGTAGAAAGAGCACTAAAGTCACCTGTCAGCCATATCAGTCTAAAAATAAAACAAGCAAAATAAAGGACCATGGGGAACCTACATAACCAACCCCAGAAAGATCCTTTGAACTTTAACTGTCAAAATCCAAGATGGTAGCCTGTCGGCCATTTTGTTTATCTGATCAGTCTCAAGAGGAAACATCCGCAACTACAGACCAAGGGGAATTTTCATATCAAACTTGAAAAAGATCCCTTCAGCACTTTGAGAAATAGCGATAACAAATCTTCACTGTCAAAATCCAAGTTGGCTGCCTGTCGGCCATTTTGTTTATCTGATCAGTCTCAAAAGTAAACATGCACAACAACGAACTAATGGGAACGTTCATATCAAACTTGGGAAAGATTCCTTCAGCACTTTCTGAGAAATAGCGATAACAAATATTATCTAAGGATGGATGACTGACGACGGACGGAAGGACGACAGACCAGGGATGAAGTGCGATTTAAATAGCCCACCATCAGAGGCTTAAAAGACAAAAACAACATCAAGCAAGTCATTTTGAAAATCTGTTTTGTTTATTTTTATCACCTTTCCTGTTTACTGGTAAATAACCACATATCTATCATCTTCTGTCCTGTTTACTGATGTAACCACAGACATCTTTTGGATCAGTAAACAAATCAAATGTTTCGTGTATGAAAAAATAATAAAAGAAAACTGTTTATGATTTCATTATGAGTAAAAACAATAAAAAAAAATGTTTATTTGTTTTTTTGTCAATTTGCATTTCAATAAAATTAATTATATAGTCGCAAATTCCAGTCTGTGATTACTTTTCTGCATAAATTCATTTTAAGCAGTGCTAATAAACAATCAATATTTTTTTCTTGCAAAATATCAAGATAATTTTAAGAAGCTCCTCACGAATGACTTGATGGCTAAAGGGAAATAACTCGCTCGTAATTTCAGCCGTTTTTTTCCTGGCAAGAAAAATAATAAATTCCGCTTACATAGTTTCCATCCACTGTTGCAAATAATAACCATATGGGGATAAATTTGAATTCAGTTTGATAAATATTTAAGAATTTACCTCTGATCAAAATACCATCGTTGAAGACCATTATGACAAATTAATCTTTACAAAGTACCTGTAATAAGTAATGCTAACAGTGTCCCTTTTTGAATTACTGTAAACATAAGCGTATTTGCAACAAATTTGTATCAATTCCACCGGTCTTGTGAACTTGCTTCTTGAAGATAACTTGTGGACTTGTATTCTAGAACTTCACAAGACATACCTCCTTCCTGCTAACTTGCGGAGTCATCCTTGGACAACATATTTTGGACAATATTATTTGTGGTTGGGAAAAGAAAGATATGCTATCACACTTAATGACGATCACGAGTTTCCTGAAACAACTTGACTTACTGTATAAAAGGATAATGGATTGTGAAATTCTATTCAATATACCTGGAGTAATTAATATAGCATTCCATTTCTTCTAGTAACCATAGTTACTGTTAAATAAAATTACTTGAAACCAAAGTTACATGCAGCAATTTGTGTCCACCCAATTTTTTATGCCATAAATAGCCCTTCTTTTTTTCCAGAACAAAATTATTTTGGGACAGATTTATCAATTTGTTAAACAAAACATATCACAACCATACCAAAACATCTTTTTGCTCATCTGCACACCATGCTAAAGGAAATAGATCTTTATTTGGTAAAGCTAGATGACTTTTTGTAGAGGAAAAAGTAGCAATCCAGCTTTAAGCACAACTTTTGTTATGGAACATACCAAATATTTTTGCTCATATTTATTTACAATGCAGATCTTTTGTTTTTTATCATTTTTTTCCACTTTTCAATTGTTTCTCTTTTAATTTTAATTCAACTTCCAAACTATTATATCAAAACGTATTCTCTCGCATGCGGATAGAGTTGTTCAAGAATTAACCATATGGGAGAGTTGGGAGGCACTTTCTCAGAGCCCCAACCCAACCATCCATGAAATATTGAAGATAGTCCGATCTAGATTTAACCCTATCACTCAAAATATGTGAATACATGTGCTTCCCATCTGCCCCATACAATTTATTACGGAATAATCCTTATTAAGAATTCAGTCATTGCTATCAAAAAATGACTTTATATCACAAAAAGTCCTATTAAGAAACCCATAAACAGAACAGTTGAGGAGAAGAGGAGATCTTCAAGAGAAGTCAACAGTTATAAGTATGAAAGATTGAGAAGAAGCTGTAACAGGGCGGCCCAGCAGCCAAGGAAAGTAACACATACAAGTACATACAATTGGACAGAACAAAAGACAAAGATGTTGAGAATTTACATAACATGAAATTTTACTTCCAGCTTCAGTTTCATTATCAGTTTTCATCACTTTAAAATGACAAATATCTGGCTTCTCTTCTAGATAGTTTTTAGAAAAACGTAAAAAGAAACAGCTAAATCATTGTGAACATTTGGCGGAAATTTTGATCGCCATACAATTCTCCTGGGGCACGTACGTAGTCCATCATGTAACCATATTTATGATTGGCCTTCTTATAACCAATTTTTGTAATAAATATTGAACTGTTAGATATCATACACTTTGTGTATTGATTATCGATACATATCTCACCCTTTTAATTAGTTGGTCCTACTTTTATAACTGATGATAGAACATTAAGGCTACATACGTTACCTGACTGTGACATGCCTCACCTATCCAAAATAATTCCACATAGGGGAGATAACTCTAATATGAAGGTATTTTGTATAAGGTAGCATATGTATCCTTAATGCCCACACTTGCTTAAATTAAATAAGTTGTATTTCATTATGAATTTTGGAAATGAACTTCAAGCGAACTGAAAAGTTGTGACAATGGAAACTGAAACCTCGGTTTATTATTTTTTTAAATCTTAAATACACCTTCTCACTTTCAAAACCTAAGATTTTATTCGTTACTTAATTAACCAGTACAGGTACTGTTAGGATAATCTTATCATAGCGCAATTTTGTTACGGTCAACGTATCAGCGCATTATTGTGTTTTCTTTTAACAGTGCCCCATATGATTGTAGATAAATTTTACCTTTACATAATTAATCACTGGAACATCAGTGTAAAATTTCACACTGAAAGTTTAACATTTACTGTGATCAATTATTTTGTATAATAACTCAAGAGTTTTAAAACATGTAAAATGTGTACAGTACCAATTAGTGGAGACTTTTTTTTAAGAATAATCTATAATTGTGCTCATACGGAAGTCTTTGCTACACAAAAATGGCTTAATTATGACCATGATGGGTAAAGAAATTCAAGCAATTCATATTTCAGTGAAAATTAAACAAAATCTATTTCCATGATAATCAGGATTTTATCATTCATGTACCATATTTATCCACCAATAAGCCCAAACCCTGAAATAAGCCCATCCAAAATATTGTAGTTTAGCGCTTTCACCACTGTAGACCATAATCGACTCGCCCAGATCAATGCATGGTAGAGTCTACTAAAGTTACATAGGGGTGAAAGGGTTAGTAGAAATTCAAAAAAATGCTTCTTTAATAGTCCCGATGTAACCCCACCCCAACTTTGAGTAGATATTATGTGTTGGCCCCTCCCTGAGCTTACTGCAGGATATATACAATAGTTTCATACATATCTTTTACCTGCTCAAAAAAAATATTGTTTCCAACTTCCTCCATCAATGATTGTTAAGTAAAAAAATATCAAAAAGACATAACTGGATTGGAAATAATGGCTAGTGACAGTTTTGAGACAAAGACTAATTTTTGGCCATGTTTCACTCATCCACCCCTGAAATTGCATAATGAACTATTCCAACCTTAAAACTGAAGAGTTCAAATGTGTCTTCAGGGGTGAACGAGTTAATCTAGTCAGACAGTCAAAACTTCCAAGTTCTCTCTGTGCCTGCCAGCATTTTTTTTATTTGCCATGATCATGAGCTCATAAAATGAAAAAGAAAAAATATGGAAATAAAGCAACTTAAAGCAGATAGAATTTTTTTTTACAGAAAAATGAATAACCTTGAAATTTATATCATGTTTTACTTGATAAATATTTTTTCCTAAGAAAAAAATATGTTCATGTATGTCTGCAACCACTAAATAAAAAGGTAATGCTTCAATACTACCCAAAGGAATTTAAAGAGTAAGCATTACCTGGTGCCAGTCGTACAGATTTTACTTCAGTTTTGATACTAAAATTCTTAAGTTAATTATTTCTTACCAATGATATATGTTTCTTAATGCATACAAAGAATGGAACTATGTATTCAGCATGTCAAAAAAAGGCTGAAGCAAGATTTCTTTGTCAAGCTGTGTACGAAAGAAATGCACACTCAATCTGCACAGCTCATGATCAATAAGAACTGATATTGAAATAACATGTTCATGTATTTTCTTCTAATTTGGGTAAACCATTCTTTGTCAAAAAGAAAAAAATATATATATTAAATAAATGAACATTGTATGTCTTTCTAAATTCATGACTATTTTAATTCACTATACTTTGTTCCCCCCCCCCCCCTATTTTACTATCAGTATGCAATCTTTTTACTTGCAATCTACTTAAATGTATGTGTCTTAAAAAAAAAAATAGTCGTCAAAATTAGATAGACACACAATATATCACGTCCTCACTGAAGTGTATATTTCATGTATGAGAATAAGGGTATGCAGTGTTGAGGTGTAGAACTTGTTCCTTTCAGGGTAGGGTTGCTTCACGAAGACACAGGCGAGGCCGACGATGGGGACATTGATTTGCGCGATTCTGATTTTTGTCCTTCCTCTGTTATATGGTGTTTATGAACCTAAAACGAAATTGGTCATTGTAGGCATTGGCAATCAGCAAACAGGTTTTTTTTTTTACGTTTTTGCGTTATTGTAAAAATTGGAACTTTTCCTAGAATTTCTAATTTGTAATGTTAATATTTTATATTCCATGTCAAAAATTCTTATTTTAACATTCTCAGGTTTATATACCATAAAAACTCAAATCCCAACAATTCATTTCTGCACACAGCTATCATAAAATGGGCAAATTATCGTTTACTGTGTAAAATTTATTTGATAACTCTAGTCCCTATAAAAGATAAATTTACCAAATCTCACTTAATTTACACACATACACATGTACAATATCCGTGAGTTCTGAAGGTTTATTTTAAACAGTCAAACTGAAATCTGTCTGGAGTTTCGACACTCTGAACACATTAGTCTTGATATGACATATATTCTGTCCCGTCACACAACAATAGTAATAATATAAATAATAACTTGAGGATCTTGTATACCCTTTATCACAATTGTGTAACCTAGTTCATAGGTTGTCTCAAAGCGGTTCACAAATTATTATCCGTGGTTGTAATTATAGGGCCTTTGCAACCAGTCAATATCTTTCTCAACTTCCCGGGGAGCATACAGCCGGTGCTGCCATTTAGCTGTTCACAGCTAGCCTAGCACTCAGCAATTCAAGCACTGCCCAACCACGTACTTATTTACAGCTGAGTAGACTGGAACAATCGGAGTAAAGTATCATGTTCAAAGATACAACACAGTGACGTGACTCGACTTAAACCCGCAACCTTTTGGTCACAAGCCCCATGAAATTAAGGGGAAGGTTCTGTATATGTATGAAGAAATGTAGTGGAATTCTGGAGCGTTTCGTCGCAGTGGGATTCCATCATTGGAGGTCACACAAAGAGGCACCTGACAGCAGTACTAGTCCTAACAGTGTTATTTTAGAATGTTGTGAAAGTTAAACAATTAAACAAAAATAAATTTTATCTTTATGACCTTGACATTTCACCAAGAAACATCCAAAGTACAAACACACACAAATCGATGGTAAACACTGTTTTTCTTCTATCTTCATTGTGGATCTATTCAAACTTTGGAACTTCAATTGGATTTTCATTGTGGTGAGAAATTTAGTTTCAAAATCCCTAGTATGTAGTAGATTTATATACATAGTATACAACACAAAGTCCCATCAACTGAACACAGTCCAGGACTACGATCTTTGGGTACTTACTATTTTTCTTACGTGACTTAACAGTTGTCCTTCCCTGCCCCTGCAGTCTTCCACGCTGTAGGGTGGGCGTATCGACACCTCTTCCATCACAATGATATTCTTGCCCTCCCATCTAGAATCGTTCAGTCTGTTGACAAGAATAAACTCTATGTAAATATAGACATGTAAAAGGCCAAATAAAAACATATGTGTTTTTCTTGTTTCGACTCCAACTCCGGGGGTGGGGTGGGTGGGGATGGTGGTGGGGGGATGGGAGGGTTGCAGTTTAAGCCAACACTGACATCACAGACTGGATTCTCCACTCCTAGACTACAGATGGTCACACTAATCTACAAATCCCAACCTATATATATCATAACTTGAATTATCTATAACTACTCATATTCGCTACTATCTTCAAATAAAACTCTGACACTGACCACGAGCCAAGGCTAATAAAATTCATAGCAAATTATATGCATACGCAAAACAATTAAACGGCTAATAAATGCATAACAGTGACTGTGAAAAACAAATAAAATGTATTAGGGTGACACCGTCGGCATGAAAAATTAGGGTCGGTCAGGAAACGGGATACACAGGTATAATTTTATTTGGCCTAAATACATTGTGTAGTTCTTCATTTAAGTGATTTTGAAAGGTGCAAGGTAATTTTCCATGCACATGACCATCACAATTCAAATTTATGTCAAGATAGATAAAAATATGTGTAAAACTTTGTAAAACTCTACCATCCAAACTTTCTGAAGAAAATCCTTACATTTTGCCAAACCTATAGCTATAAGCTGGCGATTTCAAGTGTTATAAATTCAACATCACTGACTTTTGATAAATTTTGACATGACATTAACAAATCTATACCACTAATTGCTCCCTCATCACAATATACATATTGGATTTAGACTAACTTGAACTTTTAGGTCGAGGTGAAGGTCATGATGACGTAAATTCAAGAGACCATTGGCCTGTATCGCTCATCTGAATATTAAAGCAGTCATAGCAAAATATTCTCATAAACTATTATACTGTGCTACAAATATTTCACTCACACACTTTGTCAGCTCTATCTGTTGAAGCTATCAGAAAATGTTATTATATGATTATATACTTTTTGGTTCTTCTTCAGAAGTTGTTTGAACTGTTTGACATATTTGTCCCTGTGACCTTGTCAGTGGTAGGTCAAGGTCATTTTCCTTCTTAAACTTTGTCATGCTCAATCTACAGAAGTACCAGCCAAATGTTTAGATTATATACTTTTTAGTTCTTCAGAAGAAGTTGTTTAAAGTGTTTGACACATTTGACCCCTGTGACCTTGAAAGAAGGCCAAGGTCATTTTCGTTTTCAAGCTTTGATGGGCTCCATACCAACGAAGCTTTCAGCTAAATATCATGACTCTAAACCTGTCCATTCTTCAGAAAAAGTTGTTTAAAGGAAAAGTTGATGGACAGACGACAGTTGCTGCACCATGACATCAGTCATCATATAATAACATTTTCTGGTAGCTTCAACTGATGGAGCTGACAAAGTTTGTGAGTGAAATATTTGTAGTAAAGTATAATATTTAATGAGAATATTTGGCTATGACTGCTTTTAGGGTGGTTGGGTGGTGCAGTGGATAGTGCACTTGCCTTTCACCAAGGCGGCCGGGGTTCGATTCCCCGATCGGATGGGAAAAGGTATGGGGTCACCTGCCCGATCACGTGGGTTTTCTCCGGGTACTCCGGTTTCCTCCCACACTAAGACCCCCCGTGTGCTAACATCCGGGCCAACAAGAGTGATTAATATAAGATGAAATAACTTGTTTCATAATTGTTGTAAAATAAATAGAGTTTATATCTATATGACATAAGCTCAGATCACTTGCCCTTTAAATCAGGGCAGGTAAGCTAATAATGCACGGCCGATCTTCTGTAGAATTACTTAAAGTTTCAGAAGATACGACTTCAACACTTTTAACTTTATTATTCACATCCAAGACAAGACTTCACTGAAAAGATTGCACTTATATGAGTAATTTTACTAGTAGACTGCAAAGTTATTCTCTTTTATATCTTCAATAAAATCATTACTCTAGATATGAGACCACAGGAAGCCTGCAGACTCCAAGCAATTAGTGTCTGGAATGGTCAACTTGAATTTCATTCTCATGTCGGTTCAGACAAGGACTTGACTGTAAAAAGCTTAATATTTCGTTTGGGATTTAATTTCTTTTATTTCGTGGTTTGATAAAAACGACGAAATATAAACGAAAATTTAAACACAGGAAATATAACCAAAACAGTTTTTTTAAATTATTTTTGTAACACAGTTATTGTTACACATTATGTATATATCGCTCTTTGTATATAAGGCACAGAACGTGACGGATTTGACCGATACCCATCCAGAGAGTAAATCTCGCCTGATCTTATATAATTACCTGTACTATATTTACCTGCACCTTCAATTTAAACTTCTTACTCACCAGAAAAAAAATACAGGATATAAAATTCCAAAAATCTGCGCCCATACAAAAGCAATGATATTTAACCCAAACGAAAATATGCTTTCAAAGTATATTCTGTCATGAAAAGTTACGTATAAATATATGCAAATTGGGAGTTTACAGACTTACCCTTAAGAATGTCTACTTACGTTTTCACAATGGAGTTGAACACCTTCTGTCCATCAGCACTTACTCCTATTCCAATGTAATTCACTTGCTGTTTTTTTGCATCCAGGTTTTCCCTCAATCGGGCTGTAATCTACAGAATACATCATAAGTAGGCAAAGGGTTACAGCTGCAGTCATATCATGATGTACATGTATGTTCACAACATCGATGTTGCTCTGTTGATGATGTCATAAAAACACGTACCATCGGTAGGGTAGTTAAGCACATCCCACCCTTCGTGATACACATGTTTTCTTTTATGTATTTTGTTTTGTCATAGCCGCATTGCGTTTCGGACATTTCATTTATAGTTACATCCGGTAAACATTTCTTTATATGAAATTTCCTCAAAACCAGACAAGATCTATGTTCTAACCCAACTGGGACCACAATATCTGACTTTCAACTAATCAGAGGCCTCCATTGAGTTGGCATGTAAACAGATTTTGAAATAAGTCATATGTCATATAACAGGGTGTAATTAGACAATACTTTAATTTTCATTCAACTATAAGCTTTTATAAACTTAGAAACCAATTTTTAACAATTTATGAAAACTTCACCACAGAATATGATAATCTATAAGCTAGCTGTACCATTTCTTAGGACCGCAGGGGTCAAATCAACCTCATTCAATTAAGAAATGTTTGTTCTTCCTCAATAATGTTTTTGACCAAATTTTGTACAATCCACTCAGGCAATTACGGGATATTAGCGTCTTAAAGCAAAATATTAGATAATTTTCCTCTTTGGGGCCCTGTCTTCCTAGCCCCAGGGGTCTAACAAGTCTCATTTATTTAGGAAATGATTGCCCTTCCCCAATGAAGTTTCAGGGCAAATTTGGTTGAAATCTTCTCTGGCGTTTAGACAGAGATGCGTTTTAAAGCAAATTTAGCTAAGTTCCCCTTCAGGGCCCCGCCCCCCTGGCCTCAGGGGTCGAACCAACCTCATTTATTTAAGAAATGATTGCCCTCCCCTAGTGATGCTTCAGACTGAATTTGGTTGAAATCAGCTCACTGGCATTAAGTAGGAGATGCGTTTTAAGCAAATTTAGCTAAGTTCCTCTTCAGGGCCCCGCCCCCCTGGCCCCAGAGGTTGAACCAACCTCATTTATTTAAGAAATGATTGCTTTTACCTAGTGATGCTTCAGACTAAATTTGGTTGAAATCCTCCTCGGCATTTGGGAGGATAGGTTTTTAAGAAAAAGTTGACGACGGACGCTGCGCCACGGCATAAGCTCACTATGGTCCAAGTGAGCTAACAATAGTACATGAGCGTGACGATATGTCAACACCAGATATCAAGACTTAACTGGGAAATGTGTTATCACACGTACTTCACATATAAAGATTCCGATACAAAGACATAAACAGACTCACAGAAAGACACTGACATGAGACAAGACGACTCTTTTAAAATTTTATAAAATGCAAAAAAAATATTCATTAAATCTTTCTTTTTTTCAATTTTCAACTATTTTTGTATTAAACTTTGTGTCCTGTTTGCTTTTAGCTTGTAGATAATCACTTTTATTCATACAATTTCAATAAAAATCACTTAGTGTGTTTTATATGTTTTGTGATAAATAGAATATTTGTAAGGTTAATTAGCAATGCTTTTTTTTATTGTTGTTGTTACTTTTCTGAACAATGACGCATACCTAAAAAAGGAAAATATCAAAATTGCTGAAAACTCCATTTTTTGGTATTTTTCCAAAAAAATCCCTAGTCTACCGGAATGCTTAGATTATCATAAAATCACCTCTAAATAGTTGCATAACTATTATGTGGAAGTTTCAATGAATTTCGCAGGTTAATTGCAAAAGGGTGGAACCTCTTTAAGGCTGACTTGCAGCCAATCTAGACCTATATATGATAACAAATCAAAATGCCATAACTGAATATCCTATTTTGATAGCTTTACTACGTACTGTGATCTAATATTATCATACTGTAAATCTATTTATCAAAGTGCATTCAAATTTTAACGCACTATAGAATTTTAACAGATTTGCACATTGATGAATTGGCACATCCACAAAATATTTAGGAGATCGAACAATTACACAGGAACTTCAAATTGCGTAATTTTGCAATCATAACCTAGCACAATATTCAATGTGCGAAAAAGTGCTAAAATTTGACTTCTTTTAAAACATCTGTGTTTAAAGTTTTGCAATACATAGTATTGGATACCAGCTATAACAGATTTAACTTACATGGATCAAATCATTAACTGTAAAATGTGTAAATTAGTATTTTACTTAGGTAATCACATGTACACGTACAAGAAACCCCAGTCAAAATCTACCATGAAATCAATGCACTTGCATAATTTGGGAAATCGCGCGTGCACAAATTTCGTTTATGGAAGCTGCCATTATGGATCAACCGGATGTAGAACAATTTCCAATAAATTTAATCCATTTCAATACAGAAACAAACAGTCTCAGATAATATTTCTTTTCTTTTTCAATTTTGACTATTTCTTTTATTATTATGACATAATATCGCAGATTAAAACAATCAAAATGCGCGTTGCAAATAAGTCGTGTTAGAATATTATTTTGTAGCCAATTAAACATACAATCTATTAGAAACGGTCTTGAATAATATTTCTTTTCTTTTTCAATTTTAACAATTTCTATGACATAACGCCGATTTCTTGGCACATTTTTAACTATAAAGATCTAACTCAGCTCACAGATAAAACCTGTGTACAATGTCATAAGTCATTATGGCGTCATAATCGATATTTTCGAAATTTTATACTGATGACAAACAGTGTGGTTTAGTAAGACGGTACATGTTATCAAGAATATATGTCACGCATCTTAGTTTTGAGATTCTGCTGTAGGCTACAAGATGCGTATAGTTACATATGAAATACATGTTGTTTATTTTACACAGTCAAATAGGAAAATTCACAATTATTAAGTTTTTAATCAAATATAAGAAAAATAAGAGGAAAAAAAAATTGGATCTCTTGCAAATATTTTGCTTATTTTAATACAAAAACAGGAATAATTGCCATACTTTATTTATGTTACAAGACGTAGGATTGCCCATGTAGCTATAGGGAAACATGATAATTTGTTTCGCAGTGTGATCAATCATGTTTCAGTCAAGAATTATATCATGGAAAACAAACAAACATTTTCTCTTTAATACAACAGGGACACTAAATGTATTATTACATCTGTCAGTAGAGAACATACAGATATCTTCTGTACCTGTCAGTAAAGAACATACAGATATCTTTTGTACATGTCAGTAGAGAACATACAGATATCTTTTGTACATGTCAGTAAAGAACATACAGATATCTTCTGTACCTGTCAGTAAAGAACATACAGATATCTTTTGTACATGTCAGTAGAGAACATACAGATATCTTTTGTACATGTCAGTAAAGAACATACAGATATCTTCTGTACCTGTCAGTAAAGAACATACAGATATCTTTTGTACATGTCAGTAGAGAACATACAGATATCTTTTGTACATGTCAGTAAAGAACATACAGATATCTTCTGTACCTGTCAGTAAAGAACATACAGATATCTTTTGTACATGTCAGTAGAGAACATACAGATATCTTCTGTACATGTCAGTAGAGAACATACAGATTTTTTTTGTACCTGTCAGTAGAGAAAATACAGATATCTTTTGTACCTGTCAGTAGAGAACATACATATATCTTTTGTACTTGTCAGTAGAGAACATACAGATATCTTCTGTACCTGTCATTAGAGAACACACAGATACATTTTGTACATGTCAGTAGAGAACATACAGATGTCTTCTGTACCTGTCAGTAGAGAACATACATATATCTTTTGTACCTGTCAGTAGAGAACATACAGATATCTTTTGTACATGTCAGTAGAGAACATTCAGATATCTTTTTTACCTGTCAGTAGAGAACACAGATATCTTTTGTAAATTAACCTTTTGACCATGTAGTATGTTTTTCTATTTATACACAGTGATTTTTTTTTGTAGAAAGGTCGCTGGATATTTTTTTTCTGAAAATCAATTCAAAAACTTCTTTATTTTCCAAAATCAACAGGCACGGGCCCCTGTGGGAAAGCGACAGGAAAGTCATAGAAACATACCTTCTGTAAGTTAAGACTGGTCAATGCTGGGGCTGGCTCATCAGACTCCTGAATGACTTTGAGGTCACTCACATAAGCCAGGTTCAGCATGCGGATATCATGCTTGTTGTGTTTAGCACTTGCAGCTAAAGATTCTTGGCAATGGTAAAGGAAACAAATTCAATGCATTCGAAAGACAGTGACAGAACAGATTAGGGAATCACCACCTCGAACCGATAAACAGTAGACAATCTAGCTACATGTAGCAATTATCAAATAATATGCATGAATGAAAACTTCAAGCTCAAAGATTATGGAACAGAATACGCAATGGGGCAATACCATTTTAAAGTAACAAATTTCCACATCCCCATGTCTGTCACTTTCGATATTCCAGGGGTTACGCTCACTTACGCTCTGCACCCAATATGTCAAAGCAAAATTGAAGGCATGCAACTAGCTATTTGATTGGTTTTAGGTGAAGAAAACCCTGACCAACAAATAGGCTGATACCTGTCCTTTAAAGATTATACATCTAGGATCAACAACCGACTTCAAAGCCAGTCAATTTTACTGTTATTTGATCATGACCGAGAGATTATTTGATTTTTATCGTTATAAATCTCGGATTTAGTTCCTACAGGAATTAACACTGATCGAGCCTTCGATTTTGTCATGACATAGTCCAGGGATGCAGAGGGCGAGAGAGTGCGCTTTCTTCCACAACCACTGTAGGTTTCCTCACTCATGACTCATTGGAAAAACCTGCTAGGAGTTGGTAAACATTTTTGGTTACCCACTAGTGGGTAACACCCTCGACATGAGTTCATTGGTCAATCTTTTATGATGTCACGTTACAATGCTTTTCGACATCATGCCCCATGTCAATTGTTTCCCCAGAAACAGGTCCCCAAACTAGTGATGATTAGTTATCACGTTTATCTAATTCTCTCATTAGTTAATTTTCTAATTGTGAAAGACACTTGGTAAACCTTGTGTCTTGATACAATTTGAAGATTAACAGACTTGTGTTAAATAAACATGATAACGAACCATATCACTCGTTGGGGAACCTCTATATCCCTGAAGTATCAAATGCATTTCTGTAATCAGCGACATGAACATTTTTTTTTTGCATTTTTAACACCATGCCAGATTCCTTTCTTTTTAAGCAAGCTAAATAAAATAGTGTCTGATTTGGCAATAAACATGTTTTTAAAAGGCACATGTTATACAGTGCAATGTTTAGGGTTCACTCGTATGAGCGCCCAGGTGAAAAATTTGCCGAAGGCAAAACGCACGTATACCTTAATTTTACATTATTTACTGAAAAAAAAAATGCATTTATTTATGAAAGCATACATCTTACATATTTTGTTTGCATGTTAAAAATCTATGAATACCAATAATTAATGACGATCCGATAGCCATTTGTTTTGCATCCCGGTTCGATCCGACAAGTGTGTTGTCATTTTAAGATGGAAAATAGTGGGTGTTGTACACAACGTAAAGGATACTGATTGCAAGCATTTTTGTTTCTTCGTCAAAAGCGAGTACTTCTCCTTGTATTTTCTGGTTATAACATGTCGTACAGCTTACGATACTTCCTATACTGAAGTATTCGCCGTCCTGTGCCATCTCGATCTTCATTTTTCGCTGGACAGCTCTTTTTTCGACAAAGGTGCCGCACCTTCAATAGACATGACTTTTGATTGGTCAATATGCACTCTGTATTCAGTGATACACTAGAAACATTTTTCGTTATATGCTTCATTTCGTTGTTTCTCTAAATATAAGAAATGTTAACGTTAAGAAAACAAATGATTAAGGAAAATTTTATTAGTTAAGTGAATATTATATTTCCAATGGAATATTTGCGCAGCATTTTGTAAATTTTGGTGTTGTACGTTTTGTGTTGTGATTAACCTGAATTATCAGACATCACTGCCGCCGGAACTAAAATGGTTAACGCCTCCTGCTTTACCTAGTCACTGTCACGTGCTGTCCCGGTGTGCTTGTATTAATTGGCAATCAATTATACCGGATACGTATTCGATGTAGTGATAGTATAAACAAATCAATTACGCCCTACTCCCCCATGTGGAGATGGATGCAATCTTTTTAGAAAAGGAGCGGGGACGGAGCAATTTGGCAGCATGCCAAAAAAGGTTAGCTTACGAGGACGGACCCCTTTCCAATGGGAAGAGTGGTCATGGCGCCTCTAAATCAATTTTTATAATCTCAGCTCTATGGTGTTTATTTATTTTCTCCATTTGTGCTTAACTGATCTCGACTTTCTAGGTCCGTGCTTATGATTTATTCCTATTCTTATGGATAGGCCATGTAATTTATATATAATTGTATATGCATATCATGTGGGCTAAATAATATACCGACGGAAGATTGTTAACAGTTTAAAAGAAAATAACAAATGTTTTAGAAGTTTATTAAACCATGCAGAGGCATATAATCGGAGACGTATATATTACAATTAATAAAACCCAAATCTCCAGGTAAATATTCTTTTTATGGGGAAAAGTGGCGAGAGGCAGTTACAGTCCCGGCCCCGTCCACCCTTTCCGGATCCGCCAACCGAATCTATAGACTGGAGTGAATATACTTGGTGGTTTATAAATAAATAGGCAAGATAGTTTAACTATGAAAATTAAATTATATCATTGTCCATTATTATTAAAAGTTTTACTAGTTTTCTTAGTTATCATAGGTGGCTAAATATATGTAGTTCTTAATACAACTGAAACAAATGATGAAAGTCATAATTGTTTCAAATTAGTGACATTAACTTAGTATTCTCCCATTATGAACAAATATTTCTCATCGCAAAAATGCGTTGCTTCAAAGAAGGTGATAAAAGGAATAACAGTAGAGTGCATATGTTCATGAATTGTTTTAATGGTGAATCAAGAACGAAAAACAATTCTTTACATGAAATTATTTTCAATGTTCGGTAATTTATACACTGTTCACGCACGCACGGATACTTAAAGCGAACATAATGGTGACAATAAATGCTTAAAAGACATCATAAAACGCAATGTCTTCTTGACGGAGAGTGTGGTACATGACGGAGTGTGTGATACATGACGGAGTGTGGTACATGACGGAGTGTGTGGTACATGACAGAGGGTGTGGTACATGACAGAGAGTGTGGTACATGACGGAGAGTGTGATACATGACGGAGAGTGTGGTACATGACGGTGTGTGGTACATGACGGAGTGTGGTACATGACAGAGGGTGTGGTACATCACGGAGAGTGTGGTACATGACGGAGAGTGTGATACATGACGTAGTGTGGTACATGACGGAGAGTGTGGTACACGACGGAGTGTGGTACATGACGGAGAGTGTGGTACATGACGGAGAGTGATACATGACGGAGAGTGGTACATGACGGAGTGTGGTACATGACAGAGGGTGTGGTACATGACGGAGAGTGTGGTACATGACGGAGTGTGTGATACATGACGGAGTGTGTGGTACATGACGGAGTTTGTGGTACATGACGGAGTGTGGTACATGACAGAGGGTGTGGTACATCACGGAGAGTGTGGTACATGACGGAGTGTGTGGTACATGACGGAGTGTGGTACATGAAGAAGTGTGGTACATGACGGAGAGTGTGGTACATGACGGAGAGTGTGATACATGACGGAGTGTGGTACACGACGGAGTGTGGTACACGACGGAGAGTGCAAAGAACAGGGAAGTTTATAATAATAATACACAACATTTATATAGCGCTCTATATAATTTGTAAAAATACCCTAAAGCGCTTTGCAACATATGGATAATTGTATTGGTTATATCTGATAAACAAAAAAGAGTACAATCACCATTTTACATTAAGCAAGAAGATAATCATCTCAATGTGCATATAAATCAATAAATAAAGGGTGGTATGTACATGACGTCTGTGCAAAGAGCCTAAAGGCAGATGTAAAGAGGTAGGTCTTTATATCATTCTTTAATTTGGCCAGGGTATTTGATTTTCTAATAGGATATGGTAAGCTATTCCGCAACGTGGCAGAAACCTGCCCAAAGCACCGGTTTCATAGGTCACAGTACGAGATTTTGTGAAACACAACAATAATTCTGTCTCCGACCGTAGTGATCGTGACGGCTGAAGAGGTAACAAGTGAATGCACCAAAATATTGCATGAAGCTGCAGTTATAAACTGCCGGATACAGCCGATGTTCCTGATCTGGTAGCGACAGGATTTGGCAATAGTGTGCACTTGTTTCTCCATGTTGAGTGAACTATCAAAATATACCCCTAGGTTTTCAGCAGCTGGTACAGTCTCAATAGTTCTGGCACCGACCTTGAGCTGCATGAAGAGCCATTGTTTGCTGACACTTTGGGGAAAAGACGGTTATGTTGTTGATCTTAGGTAAAGAATTTTGTTCAGAATTGCAGAAATCATTTGTACGCCGTTGCTTTGCATGCAACATATAACAAAAGTCTACAAAAAACGTAACACGTCCAGATCAATAATCAAAATGGACAAAATCGAAACTCAAACAAAAACCGGAAACATGTACAGTACAACAGGAACAAATGAGACGGTACAACAAAAGGAGAGTGACAGATTCAAAAGGGCAAATACCAGAAATCAAAATAAACCGACGACAAAATAAAAGGAAAAACAACAACGGGAAATGAGGAGACACTAAACAAAAGAAAAGTGATCAATTGAGAGACAGATCAAAGTTAGAACTTGAACACAACCTAACAAAAACAGGAACCGAGGAGGCATCAGCACAAATAAACGTGGCCAATAGAAATAACAGAACAGAAACTGAGAACAAGATTAACGAAACGAAAGTGATCAATTCAGAAATAGATGACAGTGATATTTTATTCTCGTAAAATGCAAATTAGAGTTAGAGAACAATTCTATTGTTAATAATAATAATAATAACAATAATAATTTGAGGTTCTTATATACCGCTTTATCACAACGTAGGTCGTCTCAAAGCGGTTCACAAATTATTATCCGTTTTTATAGGGCCTTTGCAACCAGCCAATACCTTTCTCAGCTCCCTAGGGAGCATACAGCCGGTGCTGCCATTTCGGCGCTCAAAGCAAGCATTCAACAAGACTAGCACTGCCCAACCACGTTCTCATTTACAGGTGAGTAGACTGGAACAAGCGGAGTAAAGTATCTTGCTCAAAGATACAACACGTACAGTGCCGTGCCGTGACGCGAGCCCGCAACCCGAAACCCGCAATCAACGGGACATGGCTATACATACGGTTTGTCATTTTTACCGAAAGTCGATCTAAACCCCTAAAACATGTAAAATTACTCTGAACATCTTAGTTTAGGTCCAAGTATAGCTGTAACAAATGCTCAAGTCCCTGTGGTTCAACACACACTGGGATCTACGGGACCAAATTAAAACATGACGTCACGGTCAGTTTTCTACAGGGGTGATGTGTACAAACCAGGATTAAAAAAAACAATGGCTTTATTTCTGCATTTCTGAGAAAGTCATAACACAATCATGACGGATAAATGTAAAAATAGAAAAAAGTTTATCACTATTTTTCTGCAGGATAAGGACAGGTAGATCAGTGCTGTAATAGGTAACGTGGGCTTAAATATTGAGGTAGAGCCGGAGTCTTTATAAGTCCTACATGACATTTCCAAAAAAAACCGCTATTCTCTTAGTGAGTTGTCTGAGTAATAACATGCATTGTGTTACAATCTATCTCAAAATCAAGTGCTGCATGTAAAAAGATCTTCTGTCAACACACCTACACAAAACAGACCGGGAAACGTATAGCGTGATTCGGATACGCATCAATGATCACATGTTATATATAGAAAATTATTCGGGACAGGGTATTCATGACTTAAAATCAGACCAGGAAGTGAATTTATTCATTTAATATCTAATACAAAATGTATATGTTGAAATAAGGCATAGGGGGTGGAAGAGAGGATTCGGAATAACCCCGATACAAGGAAGCACTGGGCAGGTGGGAATGCAGTTATGATGAGTGAGGACCATTCTAATATCTCTGTCATTTCAATGTTTGGCCTTTTACTAGTACTGTTTTCATCGACAGGTAAGTCTTCTAGATCACTTTAATATTGGTCTTTCATAAAAATATCGATTCATGTTCAACAGTACACCGATATTGCTTTCACTATCTTCTTAAAGGTGTAATTGTTCATTTCCTGAATACAGACATTTATTGTCATGCACTCTATATATAACTTTGAGGGTGTGGTACGTGAGACCGAGACTGGTGCTGGTGCTGGGGTTGGGGCTTGGGCTGGTGCTGGTGCTGGGGTTGGGGTTCGGGCTGGGGCTGGGGCTGGGGCTGGGGCTGGGGTTGGGGCTTCGGTAAGGGCTGGGACTAGAGTGTACCTTAACAATATGATAAATCGCCAGTGGTTTGAAAAACGGTTCTTAATTTGTGATTCAGATTCTTTGTTACCTTGTGCCTTAAGATACAGCGGAAAGTGGACTTCACAGTATGCTATTATGGACATATTATATCAGTACAACAAATGAAATACATCATAATTTTACAGTATGATATAATGTCAAAGCATTGTAAAATACAGTTTATTACAATGAAATACATTATATTCGAATATAGCACGATATCATGACATACATCACGACCCAGTCTGATGTATGCTGATCTGATTCGGATCCCAGAATCCCAAATGAGAAAAGAGGGGGAAGCCATTTTTCACTATCCTTACGTTGTTAAATCTCTTATCTATATTCAATTTTCCTTTTCATTAAACATAAAGAAAAAAGGGGATGGGGGATTGGGGTATTGTATATTGCATAAAATAATCACTAACAAGAAGAAATACATATATAGAAAACAAGTTACTGCGCCATGTCAATTTCGTCCACCAGACATAAATTTATGCAAAATGTGGCGTTGACATGCATATCCGGTACCTCCACAATAGGTGTGTAGCACACCTGTACCTCCACAATAGGTGTGTAGCACACCTGTACCTCCACAATTGGTGTGCACCACACCTGTACCTCCACAATAGGTGTGTACCACACCTGTATCTGCACTGCTTTACATCCATATCTATCAGGCAACTTCTTAGACCGCCTATTCCGTCTTTTCGTTTTGCAGAGTTATCTGCTCTTGTGAGCAGGTATTGATTGTTACGACATTTGTTTGTGAGAGTAGCGTCATAAAAACGACGTTATTTTCTCACACAAACTAATGACGTAACAATCAATACCTGCTCACAAGAGCAGATAACTCTGCAATACGAAAAGACTGAATATTTGGTAACGTTACATTAAAATCACACATGAATAACCTTCAGAATGAATGTCAGCTGTAGCTTGCATACACTCTTTGAACATATTTAGGGAAATAAGATAGAATAAAACGTTAACAATGTTTTCACATATTTGATCCATACTTACCTTTCTTAATAATATTTCGTTATTTATTCGTAAACAAACTTCACCTTCAAAAGCCATTTACAATCCGTTTTCCCCGTTTCTTTTACCACAAGAATGGCAATAGTCTACTGGGATAGTTTTGTATTAAGTTGTTTTTTCTTTCTAATTAACTGTCGAAAATTATTCAACATTTTACTGAAGACCTTATATTAAAACGCCAGAATATCTCCTTTTTTTTAAAAGCAAATTTATTTCCTGCTTTCCTGAATAGCTGGAACATCAGTATGTTCTCAATCTACACGAGTAACTTACTCTCCATGTATAAACATCTTTCATTATATACGTCATAATATATACTAAATAATTTGTGTTTTAAATATTCATCATAGCTCAGGATCATTCCACCACCGCCTAAAAATATCTATACAGTGGAAACATTTTTAGCCGGCTAGCCTAAATTTGATAAGTCATTTCTAAAATGAAAAGCATACTTCATAAAAAGAAATCAATAGTGTTTTGAGAGTGAAAATGCAATAGATTAAGACTGAAATTCGAATCGTGTACCTCCGATCTGTAGATTCCTGATCAACGATAGTACTACAAATCGCGCTACAGCTAAATGTAAAGTGAACCCAAGGGGAGGTAATAGTATGTAAAAAAACTGCAGTTGAACTCTCTTGTGTTTTGACTGAAGTGGGAAAGGTTTCATATGAATTGGATAAAGATGGGTTTTCGTCGATTTTTGTGCATCATTCACTTTTGGAAATATATATAACGTGTTATGTTCATTTGTCGGTCTAAACTATCCTTATACTTATCATAAACTATTTATGTTCATTTTTATGAGCTATTCGTTAGTACATGTATTTGTCGTTAAACATATCATTCTGAACTTATCATAGCTACGGGATATCAAAGATATTGGACTGATTGATTTAAAAGTATCAAACGTTTGTTTGCTATACATATGAAAGCCCAGGTTTGTACATGTTTTTTTTTTATTATATTCTTCCGTAATGAAGTATAGAAAATTAATAAATGAACAAACACGAGGCTCTTCCGAGTTTTTTTTTTAAATTTCTGAATCCTGAGTCCTAATACAAGCCCACACCAGTCCTGTAATACTGTTGACTAAGGCGACAGTATACTACTGCTTTTTACCGTTAACCGGGTAATACTGTTGACAAAGGAGACAGTATGAAGCTACTACCATTAACCAGGTAATACTGTTGTCTAAGGAGACAGTATAAAACTACTACCATTAACCGGGTAATACTGTTGTCTAAGGAGACATTATAAAACTACTACCATTAACCAGGTAATACTGTTGACAAAGGAGACAGTATGAAGCTACTACCATTTACCAGGTAATACTGTTGACTAGGAGACAGTATAAAACTACTACCATTAACCGGGTGAAACTGTTGTCTAAGGAGACGGTATAAAACTACTACCATTAACCGGATAATACTGTTGACTAGGAGACAGTATAAAACTACTACCATTAACCAGGTTATACTGTTGTCTTAGGAGACAGTATAAAACTACTACCGTTAACCAGGTAAAACTGTTGTCTAAGGAGACAGTAGGAAACTACTACCATTAACTAAGTAATACTGTTGTCTAAGGAGACAGTATAAAACTACTACCATTAACCGGGTAATACTGTTGTCTAAGGAGACATTATAAAACTACTACTATTAACCAGGTAATACGTTTTACTAGGGCGACACTATTAAACATTTTTTACCCGTTGACCAGGTAATACTCTCGACTAAGGAGACAGTATAAAACTACTACCATTAACCAGGTTATACGTTTGACTAGGGCGACACTATTAAACATTTTTTACCCGTTGACCAGGTAATGCTCTCGACTAAGGAGACAGTATAAAACTACTACCATTAACCAGGTTATACGTTTGACTAGGGCGACACTATTAAACATTTTTTACCCGTTGACCAGGTAATACTCTCGACTAAGGAGACAGTATAAAACTACTACCATTAAATAGGTAATACATTTGACTTGACTAAGGCGACAGTATAAAACTACTACATTTGTACCATTAAATAGGTAATACATTTGACTTGACTAAGGCGACAGTATAAACGTTTGGGGTCCCTTGTTCGAATCCTAGTGAAGCTTCCTGTTGACTATAATAGTTGTTTTATTTTTTCTTCGTAGAAAGTTCGCAAGTGAGGTTTAAAAACAGATTTATTAAAGCTTAAGTCATCCATGAAGAATGCTTACTATGCATATATATATAGTTTTAGATTTTGGTATACGGATCCCTGAATATAAGATAGGGTAAAAATGGAAGTACCAACAATTGAAAAAGCAAACAGTCTCAGTTTTTTAAAATTTATTTTGTTAATTTGAAATGGACAATAATAAGACGAACTGTTTACAAGTCTGTTATAAAACGATAGTGAGAGGATTTTTTGATTGGTAACTTTCCAATAGACCTACACCACTGTAGTAAATTATTCCTTTTCGTACTCTGATGTTATCGGATTCGTCTAACCTTTCGAGCGAGTGTCTTGGTTTTGTCTAGGTAGTCGTTTTTGGATATCATATCCAGTCCTCTGTTAGATTAATTCATTATACATATGGTAGAAAAATTAACGAATACAGATTATAGAAATAATACCAAAATTAACGTTGGTCATCAGTCGAGTTTCTATTGATATTGCCACGATACAGCTAGCGATGCTTTGATAGGTTTAGCATGCACCCACCGTCCACTTGGGGAAAGAAACCGAAGGGCTTCGTGAGTAATATACATGTTTATGCAAATTGTACATGAATAACTTCCTTGAAAATCAGTTTTAACTCAATGCGGATGTACATTTTTTTCAAGTAAAAATTATTTTCTTTTTCTACATCGTTTGTAAATAATTTTGTTGGCTTGAATAAGAAACGAAAGTTTTTAATGAAAATGTCCACATATATTTATTTACACCTGATCGACTATTACATTGACAAGAATCGAAAATGGAGTATGAGATGTATGAAGAAGATGTCAGGTATATATATATATTTACTTCATTTAAAATAAACAGTTATAAAAGACAAACAGGGAAATGTAAATCAGAAATTTGTAAACTGTTCTGTATTTATTGTCTATTTGACCTGCTTTCACCATATTTCTATTCTATTGTTACAAACCAATCCGTTTTTTAAACTTAAGATAGCATTAACTTTTATAAGTTGTTTTAAAAATCACACATTTTACCAATTCCAGGAGCGGTAAGATTATCAGGATCTTCTGACTATGCTGTCCCTGGGAGTCCTTTTAATTTAATATGTGACGTTCCAGATGTAGCTGAAAATGTCACATTTTATAGAAGTCCTGATCGGGTTGTCGGCAGTGTTAAAGTGTTGAATGCGTCGTGCTACTATTACAATGAAACCAGTGACATTCCTTGTGGCGAATCTTTCTGTGAATGTCTGCCTTCAGGAGATGGCGTTGGCAGAAAATTCAACTGGACGATCAGACCAACAGCGCAGGATCATTCTTCATCTTGGTTTTGTGTTCGATACAATCCATGGAGGATCGACGAAACATTGAACAGCCCGGACTACATTCTTCAAATAGCGAGTAAGTAATATGTACATAAATAAACAGTAAACTCCAATTAAACAGGTATTGTGGCATATTTCTGCTATCCAGTTACTTAAGGTCGCGTTAAGGTAACACGATTATTGGGGGAAATTATGGCGACATGTCAATTTATTTATTTTTGTTAACGTGATTTGGTTTATAAGATGTGAAAGAAACAGCCCAAAAATCCACAATTTATAGATTATAGACACACAGTTATATAGACCCTAACACCATTGCAAACACAAAAATAAATTCCAAACCACCATCATTTTAAATATTCACAAAACAAAATTCCCACACGTTGGAATGTCATATTATACTGTACATGTCATATGAAAAAGGTTTCCCTTTTAAAGTGTTCCATTTCGGGTACCCTTATGTTAGCCCAGAGTTTCATTACCTTTCCGGAGAACATAGTTTTTCTTATTGTTGATGTGTTTTTAAATAGAATGCTTTCAGAAAGTAATTTTGACGTCTCCATGGTTTAAGATATCTTTTAGAATCGACGTTTAGTTTAGTTTAGTTTTTTAATGCTATGCTGTATTTCGTCTCATCTACTCAGGTAATATGAGATTATACCAGGTTAAAATCAAAAAGGCAAGACTAGTTTTCAAGGTTTACACAAAATTTCCAAAATGACAAAGGGAAAAGCAAACCAAAGGAGAAATACTATAAATCCCGCTTGAAAAATGAAGGCTAACCAATGTGCCCTTGTCATGGGATGTCTTCTGATAATGTTAAAGACTCTAGGAACAATGGTATACTTTGGGTTTAAATTTTAACCATGTCATGGTGACGATCGTATGAATGTCTAGGGTACCGTCACTGTAACCAAAACGGGACAGTACCTCAAATGGGACACTTGTGGGAAAAGTACTTTTATGCATGCAGTTTTCATTTTATGATACTTTTATGACAATTTAACTCTATATTAGCTTCATTGGCTGCTGATTTTCGTTACATGGACAATTTAAAGATAAGAATAATTACCAAAACAAAACTTTCCTGATGTACACGCTTTGCGACGCTATTTATTTGGATATCATTTCTAAAAGTCTACTTTATAAAAAAAAATTATTGTTAGTTTGGAGAAGGAATTTAATCAGAACCGTCTTTGACTCAAAAATATTTGAACTATGTTTACTTTTCTGCTGATATTGATCGTTGTCCCCAAATTTTAATATCAGTCAAAATACCAAAGTGTCCCTTTCAGGTTACAGTAAAGCCGGTTTAAGGGCCTACGTGACCCTGATAGTGTTTCACGTTCTATTTATAGAACCACGCGCCTGAAATACCAACTTGTGATAGAAATGAAAATTATCTATGTATGAAAAATTAACAAACATTTTGTTTGGAATTGATAGTATGGTATAAAGATCATTGATATTTAGGTGAAAAGTGTCCCGGTTATGGTACATTGATGCTAGGTACCATTGCATCACTTATAATCATGAAGACATTTCTTTTATTTTATTATATATTTTATATTTGACCTCCCTCTAGTTAGAAGATAAAGCAAGCGAAATGAAGTCTTCTGGCTAAGAGTAGCTTCCTCTGTCAAGTCATACATGTTTCATTATTCAAAGCTTTGACCGGGGTATTTGTAATTCATGGGTGGCGCCAATGGTTACATGTAGGACTTGAGTTCGACCTTTTTATTTATTTTCTTTTGTTTGTTTTAAATATCTATGTTCATACATTAAAATTTTGAATAACTAAAATGCTGTAAATTCCTGATCATGTGAGTTTTGGAAACAAACAAATATTTCACAGTATCTATAACGGTAATAAAAAGTTTGTATCCTTTATCAATTAATGTTATAGATCGTTATTTTAACTCATTGAAAAATGCCGAAAGAATACAATGAAAGTCATTGTATATTAATGCATCTGACTATATTATACTGTGCTATCAGTACTTATAGTGTAGGACATTATACCATATTATAGTATATTATACAACATTGTATACAACTCGACGGTTACGATGTGTTATATTAACTTATAACTTGCAATATTATAACGTCGGATTGGTCGAGTGGTTAACACTGTGGCTTTCTACGCAGCCGGCCGGGGTTCGATCCCCGAAGTCGGCGTACGCATGGATATTCAGAGAAAGTGTTTTTCTCCTGCCAACACAACTCCAACAACCCAGGTGGAGTATAACTTGGTTTGGGGTGGATGTTGCGGTATCTGAGCTGTACCATTCAAGTGAGGTGGAACTATAAAGGATGCCGTTGGAGGCACGGTCCCATTACAAACAGAACACATCAAATCTCCAGCACACACGCAGGCATACACACATAGGGAGATATTAGCCAGGTGGCATATGACTAGTAGTTAGCCCCGTCAAAAATTGTATTGATTAATGTATATGCTAATTGTATTAATTGTATATCTATGTAATGTAAAGCGCTTTAGAGTGGCTTATGTTAGCTAGTAGGGCGCTATATCAAATGTTGTATATTTATTTTTATTTTAATTATTTCAAAGTAATATGTTGAATTGTTATGATGTTGTTGTTGCAACTAACTGAATTAGAATATTATGTTTATCATTATGATATGAAGTAAGATCATCGCGCATGACTCCTTTTCATAATGTACATGTCTAATATTGTGTTTGTCATTGTATACTATTTAAGTATTTGAGTGCTTTGTAGAAAGTCCAGATGGAGATATATCCCTGAACCCTCCGAGTACCAACTACAACAAAAAAGAGGGCGAAATATTACCGGATATCACATGTATAGCTGACTGTAGACCTGGCTGTAAATTTGTCTGGACAAAGCCGGACTACACAAACTTCACTTCATCTGTATTGTCACTGAGTCAACTTAACAGAACGGAACAAGGGACATACAGGTGTACAGCAAGGAATACATACGGAACAAACTCGATCACAGTCATGGTGATAGTTAATTGTAAGCATGGTTATATGGTGGATAGATGAAGAAGGTTGGGCCTTTTTGAAATATTGCAAAGTTAATTCAAATACCTATAACTACATGTAATATATATTTATATAGAGAGTTTCCATCCCAAAATGACAATTCGTTCTATTGAAAATGAATATTATATAGTTACGTTTTTTTACACTTTCATTTACCTTTACCAAGCGTAATTCTGGCATGCAACCTGGCGTCACTTTACTTAAGGAGATGAAAAATACTAAATCTTAGATCAATCCATGAATAAAAAAGGTCTTAGTGTCTATTTGTGATATATACTTTGATTAATATACGATAAGGAAGTTTGTGATATAAATAATATTTTGGCAAATTCATTTGAAAGAAAGTGTTTTGTTCACGAGTAATTCAAACACAGCTATTTTAATTCACATGAACATTAAGGAACTATTATAGAAACGTTTAATAGAACAACTAATGTATGCAGTTTGTTTATTTATTCACTTGTGAAAGCTGTTTCTTTTATATAATAGTGATAAGTAAGAGACTTGTATCTACGAATAAATGGAGATGAACTATTTTTAACGTGTGGTTGTCAACATTCTGTTCTATCAGAAAATAAGGCTTAAGTTGCTGTTTGTGTTTGTTAAATAAATGTTTGGAACACGGGTCGAAAAATCTTCAAAATGTCACTTTCGAAGATTATCTTCAATGGAAGTCAATATTGTACTCCTTATATTGCTTGTTTTCAGAAGTCTATCATCTGACAGTTATATATATTTTGATTGCTTAGTTTCCATGGAAATGAGTTATGTAGGAACACATATTTAAACATAGTCAGAGTCCGTCGAGCTGTTTGCTGTCTCGCGTTGTCCCTTCTTAAATAATTGCAGGGACATTTTCACCATAGTTTAGATTTCGCCATTAGGCCATTTTTTATGACAGCTGATTATGGCTCACAGGTGCCCATAAACAGAAATTACATGTGAAGGGCAAAGTTTACAATGTCGAAAATAGATTTACCGGTGAAGAGAGAATACTTGATTGGGTGACAGTTTTCCTATAAACAGTGTAATATTGTATACACGTAATCAGTGTTGTTTTGTTTAACGGATGCTGTTATAACACAAAAATTTGAGTTAAAATGAGAATGCTTTACATAATGTTAAAACCTCTATGAACAATGGTATACTTTGGGTTTAAATTTTAACCATGTCATGGTGACGATCGTATGAATGTCTAGGGTACCGTCACTGTACCCAAAACGGGACAGTACCTAAAACGGGACACTTATAGGAAAACGTACCAAGAAACTGTCGTACAATGCAAAGAAGTACTTTTATGTATGCAATTTTCATTTTATGATACTTTTATGACAATTTAACTGTGTATAAGCTTCATTGGCTGCTGATTATCGTATAATTACCAAAACAAAACGTTCCTGATTTACATGCTTTGCGACGCTATTTATTTGGATATCATTTTTAAAAGTCTATTTTATAAAAAAAACTGATGTTAGTTTGGAGAAGGAATTTAATCAAAACCGTCTATGACTCTAAAATATTTGAACTATGTTTACTTTTCTGCCTAAATATTAGCCAAATACCGAAGTGTTCCTTTCAGGTTACAGTATCGTCGGTTCAAGAGCCTACGTGACCCTGATAGTATTTCACGTTCTATTTATAGAACCACGCGCCTGAAATACCAACTTGTGATAGAAATGAAAAGTATCTATGTATGAAAAGTTAACAAACATTTTTTTCGGAATTGGTTGTATGGTATAAAGAACATTGATATTTATGTGAAAAGTGTCCCGTTTTTGGTACAGTGACGTTAGGTACCATTGCACCAGTAATGAAGTCTTCTGGCTAAGAGTAGCTTCCTCTGTCAAGTCATACATGTTTCATTATTCAAAGCTTTGACCTGTGTATCTATAGTTCCTGGGTGGTGCCAATGGTTACATGTAGGACTTGCAATACGAACGTCTTGAGTTCGACCTCTATATTTTTTGTTATTTTTGTTTTAAATATCTGTTCTCATACATTAAAATGTTTATGACAATGCTTAAAATGAGAATGCTTTGCATTTGTTGATAATTAAAGATTATCACACTGTGTTTTCAGGGTTGGTCGTGAGAATAATTTTCTTATCACGAGAACGTGGATAAAATCGAGCAATGAGACAATTGTTCGAACTATAAACACTACAAATACGGTGTGATGAACTATTTATCATCTATATACTACTACCTTATATATTCCTCCATTTCAAAATGTCAACTAAACACCATAATTTGCAAATGACTTCCAGGCTAAATAGGCATCGATCGCAAACCCCGGCTTTGTAACAAACGTGAACATTTGCGCGGAGGAATACCATGTACCTTAAAACCATGTAGAACGAATATTGTTAAAACAGTCTTATCGTCATTGGCTTTACCATATGCAAATTTACGCTTAAAATGGTGTTGTTATCCTCACAATATTTTTCCATTACTTGATATTGATTTATTTATGACGGACTATTATCATACGCGGATCACTTTTGTGTGGATACTGTTTCCGGTTTAGGACTTAGCGCGAGCAGACGTTCTCTTTTTTGCGAAAATACGTTCCCAAATGTCTGGAAATGGGACAATCCGTTCCCAAGTTATTCTCAAGATGTTCTCAAGTAGTTCCGAAAAGCCTTAGTATTCTCCTACTGACAACCCATGCTAATGAATTAAGCAGTATATAGAGGATATACTGACTTTTTATCATTGAATATGATGTGACAATCACTATGGACTTTAAAAGTGCGAGTCTTTTGCAGACGGTCCAGGCGAATCTGTTGCTCTAAGCCCGCCGACTAGCGTGTACATCAGAAATGAGGGTGTCACCTTACCGGATATCAACTGCATAGCTGACTGTAGACCTAGCTGTACATTTTTCTGGACAAAGCCGGATAAAATCATCTTCGTTGCCTCATCTTCATCTGTGTTGTCACTCGGACAACTGGATAGGTCAGAACACGGGCGTTACAGGTGTAATGCAAGGAATGAAGTCAGCAATACCACACGAGAAATCAACGTTACAGTACAATGTGAGTATATAATCTGATCAAAGTAAAACGCTTTCCTCACAAATCAAAAGAGACATTTTATAAACTGAAAGGGACATTTGTGTAAGCCAATGATATATACTTATTACTGAACAACTTTAACAATGCATCTTTAATAAATGCAGCAATTAATTAAGTACGATTGTTTCCTGATCATATTCTGCGGGCTGCGAACGTGTTCATTTATAGCAAGTACCATTTGCGGGCATTTTGGTGGCCTTAAAAAGAAATGTAAGTAATGACAATGTGACGTCATGCACTGCAAAATTATCCAAAACTAACGATGGGCTGTGAGTATCGAAGCCGATAGCAAACGATTTAAATCTCTTAATATCAAAATGATAAATAATAATAATAACAATAATTGTGAGATTTATTGTTGATAAGAAATTTTGTTTACCAAATAAGATCAGTTGAAATATATAGGACATCATAGATAGATTAGATTTCTTTTCAAACTGAGCACCTTATTTCTATGACAATATATATGTAGGGATACGTAATTGCAATACTTTCTGTCTGTATTGCAATATATACGTAAGTCGTGATACACACTAGGCGTATTTTGAGACATGTAGTTAAATTGTTTATGAATGTGTTACTCCTAAATATTTATTCACTTAGTTTTCCTTTCCGTCTAACCATTTGTTTGCATATCTATTGTGTGTTTTTTTGGATTTTAGTTCCATTTCTTCAACATAAACATTTATTTGTCAAAGTAATTATAAGCCTCAATTTGTAGAATTATTTAAATTGTTTATCTTGGATGATAACCAGATTTTGTTTTTCAATATTTCCATCAAACCAGGGAATAGTGTCACATATGCAACCTCGAAAACGATGGAGAGAATTGAGAATTAAACGATCCCAGACATCTCTTGCATTGCCGATTGCAGGCCGCACTGTACTTACTCGAGGTCGAAAGATGGCTCAGAATACTCTAACCCATTGTCGCTGTCAGTTGCCACGAGGGACAAAAATAATAATAATCATAATGATGATTTGAGGTTCTTATATACCGCTTTATCACAATCTAGTGCGTAGGACGTCTTAAAGTGGTTCACAAATTATTATCCGTGGTTATAGGGCTTTTGCAACAAGCCAATATCCTTCTCAACTCCCTGGGGAGCATACAGCCGGTGCTGCTATTTCGGCGCTCACATCTAGCATTCAACAATTCTAGCACTGCCCAACCACGTACTCATTTACAGCTGAGTAGGCTTGAACAAGCGGAGTAAAGTATCTTGCTCAAAGATACAACACAGTGCCGTGCCGTGACGCGAACCCGCAACCCTTCGGTCACGAGCCCGGCGTCCTACCACTATACTACCGTGTCTCCTTATGCAGGGACATACACGTGTAAAGCCTCAAATGTGGTCAGTCAGTTTGTTACAAATGGAATCTTATTGTCAGTTGTAAGTTGGTATCGTCATTAGGAGTATAAAGCGCCAAACTTATTAAGTACTCCGTCAACCATGCAATCAGTCCCTTTGAATTGTTTGAAGAAACGAATAATTCCAAATAGTTCCAAATATATTACTCAATTCTTGACAATTATGTTTTTTGACCTTTTTAACCTGCGGAAGGGTGAACCCTCATAGTTACAAAATCTACCTAAACATATAAGGCATTTCAATGTCTGATATATGTTACAATTGCTATTTAACCAAAGCCTTGAAGAGTGGTTTGGTATTTTCAATATTTATCACGTCTGCAAATAACTTTTTTATTTCCAACTTTTGTTTATAAAAGTATGATTTATATTTTTTTATGATATGAAGGTCAACCATTTGAGTATGCTCATTTGTATGTTGTTGTCTTTACCTCTCTGTGTTCGCCATGGGGAGGTTAATAATTGATTTAGATTTATATGGCGGAATCGTCGACGAGGAATTAAACGCTCAACCTTCCGGAAAACATGGTTTTATTCCCCTGTCTTTTTTTCAAGGTTCACCTGGAAAATCTTTGATTCGTTTATATTTTGCCTTAGTTTTATCGTGTTTTATTCGAACTTCGGTTTTGTTGAAACTCGGCTTTTCTCTTGCGTTATTTTTTCTCACACACATGACATTTATGATCTTAAAATTATTTTCCAGATCCCCCACATATTCTGAGTCTCTCGTACGACCAAGGTAATGCTAACGTGAAAGAGAATGAGGCGAAATCAATGTCTTGTGCAGTAGACAGTTACCCATCCTCCACTATCACGTGGTACTTCAATAATATAACCTTATTGACCACCTTTGACGTTATGGAGAGTACCTACATCCTCGCTAATGCTGGCTGTCAAGACACAGGAATCTACACCTGCTCTGCAAGAAACAGTGCATCAAATGCACCATATACTATGGATATATATATTAATGTCTTGTGTACGTCAACAATTAGTCATATACATTTTCTTCCAGATGTATTAACCAATACTTTTATGTCTTTATATAGTTTTACCTTTGTCGTTGAAACTACTTTCTCTGAAATATACCTTTCATGCTTTTAGATTTTGAAATTATGATAAAATTATAGCAAATTTTAGTGAATTGCCATGTTTCATCACAATAACAAGCTACACATAGATGTCTTCTATTTAAGACGCATTCGAAGTGCTTTTGCGCTTTATCGTTGAATAACAATTGTTTGTGATTGAAATATTTACCAAAGGTCAACAGGTCTCTATAGTAGTCTACCAGAAATTAACGTTTAAAATAAATATCAAGTAGTTCATACGTAGTTTTGGCATTCTTGAATCGATGGATTGTACTTCGTGTTAACACATATCTTCAAGGAGAGTCGATGATCTAGGTGTCTGTTCTGTAGTACGTGTATACCCAATGTCTAATATTAAGAGTGAAAAAGGCTTAAAGGAACCCTTGAAAGGTTCGGAGTAAAGGTGGGGTTAAAATATCATATGTATTTATTTAAGCGAACTCAAATTTATCAATTTTGATAGATTAGTGCATTTTAAGAATTAGCGCTTTAAGGAAATATGCAATTTAAAACCATATAAAAGATCTTCAATTGTTGCATTCATAATTGAGCGCGATAATTAAAGCCCGAAATATGCCAAAATAAGACCACCACTAACATATGTGCGGTTACAGAATTCAGTTCCGCTGGTAAAGATAAACATATATATATATATTTTTAGGTAAACCGAGGATTGATACTAGAGTAAACACAGTTTTTACGATCGGAATCGGTTTATCAAGGGACCTGGTTCTAACTGCATCTTACCTGTCAAACCCGGAACCAACATTCACCTGGCTGTTTCACATGGCGGCTAAAACTGAAGACCTCGTGCACGGGAAAGAACGTGTTTCCATACGTAGCACATATCATGCCACTGATCTGGCTGCTGTCTCTACTCTAACGAGATCAAGAATGGAGGAGAGGTGGTTCGGGATTTACATCGTAACCGTTACCAATGACCAAGGCAGTGATACAGTGGTGTACACAGTGACTGCAGCCGGTAGGTACATGTAGCTACAATCCAGGATAACCGTTCTTCCAATGAGAAAAACCGTAACTATGCAAAGGAAATAGTTTTTCCTGCATTTATATTGTCCGGATAAATTATTTCTGAAGTGAAATCCATACTTTGAAGGACAATAAAAAAAAACCCAGATGAAATAAACGGAGAGAAAAATAATAAAATCAATGTTTTGAGTGTAAAATATAACAGGAATTGGCAAGGATTCGAACACTAACGTTAGGCCTCGGATGACCTGCAAACAGTCGCTCTAACCAACTGAGCTACCTGACTAACAAAGTATTCCTATGCCAGTTGCGCTACAGTTATACCCAAAACCAAAGTAAGGTTTGGTTTCGTTTGGTTTGGTTTATATGGATTAACGTCCTACCAAGAGCTAAGGTCATTTAAGGACGAGCCTCAATGTGTGTTGTGTATGCGTGCATGTGTGTATGTGTGCCGGATGAAGGGTATGTTTGTGTATTTGCCTCCTTGTGATAGCGCAGATCTAATGCCGACTTTATGTTGCTTATTCATTGAAATACCATGCCGAAAACACCCAGCACATTATACCCCTAGACACATTATACTGACAACGTTTAGCAGGGAAAACCAATTACTATTTTTATGGACTTTGGCATGCCCTGGCCGGGGAATAGAACCCATTGCCTTCCTCACATGAGCGAATGTTCAACGTTAAGCCCAAAAGTGAGCTATTGCCAAGCAAGGCGCTAGGAAATAAAAGGTTGTTAGAAGTAGAGAGAAATATAAAGATCCCAAACATTGCAATGGGTGCAGCAGATTTATTTTGGTCGCTTTTGTGTCCCCAAGTAGAGGGCACAAAAAGCAAATCCCAGGTGGTGCCCACAATAGTTGCCTCTTACGATACATGCAGTGGGTAACATAATGTGCATTCTTTTCTCGATCCTGCAGGGTTGACCACAGTAAGGGGAGGTTGCTCTATGAACACAACAACTTATAGTTTAAATTCTCTAGTAGTTTGCCTGCAGTGGTACAGGGGTCCTTGTTAGTGTTCAGATTATCGTCTATTATGCTGCATTATTGTATCAACATTAAAGTTACCATGATCTGTGGCGAAGTGGTTAAGCTCTCTGTTTCATAATCAAGAGTTCATGAGAACGAATTCTCGAAGTGTAGCCAAGATTTACTTTTCAAAAAGGAAATCAAAATCAATATATTCCTTTCGTATATTACTCTTTGCTAAAACAAATGACCAAGCAACTTCACGTCTGAAAAAGAATGAAACAAATTAAAAACCGCCATTCTCAGAGATACTGCAAAGAACGTTGGGTTACTCTACCTTATTAAGCACGTGTATAATTAGACATTATCATACGTAGCGTCCTTCAGCAATTTGTTTAGGGGCCGCAGTAGCCAAAGTGGCTAAGGCGTCTGCCATTCTGCTACCACTAGCCCTCCACCACTGGTTCGTGGGTTCGAGACCTACGTGGAGCAGTCGCCAGGTACTGGCCGTAGGTCGGTAGTTTATTCTCCGGGAACTCCGGCTTTCCTCCACCAATAAAACCTGGCATGTCCTTAAATGACCATAGCTGTTAAGGTGGCTCAACACATCGTCATCAGCGTCCATTTTCGTGACGTACTTCCGGAAATAGTGCAAATTATAGTAACACCTCAGGGCCGTTTTCGTTAAAACAGTCAAACCGACCGGACCTCTGTTGTTCGTTTATTAAATAAGGTCGGACCTAGAAATCTGATGCCGCTTTCCGGCGAGCCTTGAGAAAGCCTTGCAAGGCCTGCATACACATTTGCAGGTCCGCCAAGATTTATACCCGAAATTGTTACATTTATAAACGGTCAAACCGGTTGTTCCGCATAAACGAACAGGCCCCTGGTAAACAATAGTACACGTGCCGATGATATGTCAACACCCGATAATCACACGTACTTCAGGAATAAAGCTTTCCAATTCATAGATATAAACAGACTCACGGGAAGACAGTGACATGAAACCAGACGTCCTTAAGAAGGTCACATAGGAAACACATGGAATGCGGACGTACCGACCTCACATTGGCATATCACGTGCTTACACGAGTTCATAAGCTCGAGGTCGTTACGATTTTCGCTGTTGGGGGAGTTTACGCTCTGTCGATTAAATCGTGTTTACAAATGTAGTCTACTTACTCTGTGAAAATAATGTTTTGTAAAATATCAAGATACCTATGAAATGCATGTGTGAGTTCGCGTGAGAACGACATACCATGCGATAGCCTCTGGTCACATATGTACCTGACATTGTAATTATAAATATACCGTGAGTTAGCAGACTGTGGAATGATGTCCAAAGTGTACATGACTGAGGGTAATTTGGTTCCATTAAAGAACAATAAATTGATAATTTTGATATCATATTTTTGATTTATTTCCATCATTCTTGTTATATGTCATTGTGTAAATGTCATCCCTCTGCAAAAAGTTCCGATTTTTTTCAAGGAAGATAACTCTCACCCGGATCAAAGTGATTGTAAAATGTAAAATAAATTAATTATAAAGCCATTGTGTATATTTTATTCAATTTCCCATGCTATATGTATAGATCTTTGTGTGCTGTTTGCTTTTAGCTTGTAGATAATCACTTTTATCCGTACAAATTCAATAAAAAACACTTTGTGTAACATGTGTTACATATTTTGCGATAAATAAAATATTTGTAGGGTTAATTAGAAATGCTTCCTTTCATTTTATTATTGCTGTTATTGTTCCGAACAATGCCACACACAAAAAAACCGGAAAATATTAAAATTGACGAAAATTCATTTTTTTTGTAGTTTTTCCAAAAAAGTCCCCAAACTATCGGAATGTTTAGATTTTCATTAAATCATCTCTACATAGTTGCATATGAAAGTTTCAACGAATTTTGCTGGTTAATTGCGAAAGTGTGGAGCCACCTTAATAGGACGTAAACACAATCAAACCAAATCAGCAATTTGTAAGACTAATACAATATAAATTAAGGCAAGTTAACATTAATGGCAAACAGAAAGAAACTTAGTTTAACTCGTATTTTAGAACTTATTTGTTTTATCATTTCCGTAATGGACAACATATATATTTTTTTCTCGTATTGCGAATATTTCAACATTCGCATTACATTACATTTCCAGATAAACCCAACCCTCCCGTCCAAGGCAAAGCTGACTGTCCTTTCGCCAACAGAGCCCTTTTGAGTTGGATCTCAGATTTCAATGGCGGTTCAGAGCAAAAATTCGTTGTGGGGATGAAGGGCGATCAAGAGGACACTTATGTCATCAACACAAATACAAAATACGATGATCCAGGACGTGGTAAACGTATCGACGCAGAACTTTCTGATCTATTGCCGGATAGACTGTATTTTTTCAGCGTCATTGCAATTAATGAACATGGCAATTCAAGTCTCGTGAATGAAGTGAATTGTACGACTAAAGGTGAGATACATTCATTAATATTCTTTTCACTAAGTTGGTATATAACATAGATAATTATGTTATTGGTCACCATTGGTAACCGTGTTCCAACAGACGTGTACTGTTCTGAATCATATGAACAATAACACCTCATTATAGTGCCACAATTTATTATGAAGAAGTTAGACGATAAATTGAGGGAAACGTACTAAATAATTTCTAAGAAAACAAGAAAAGAGACCATGAAATTTGTGGCGGTAAGCGAGGGGGCAAATAAAACGAGGGGTATTATGTCGAGGTTTTTGCTGTATCAGAATATAAGACACTTTAATGTCAAATGATGGGGGATAGACAATTTATTTTGAGGTTACTCATATTTTTCACCTTGCTGTTTTCAAAGACTTGTTGTAGAATGGTTGAACCTTCACAAAAACATTCTCCTAGACGCAGCATAACTAACATTACATAGAAATGCGATTTGAGGCGCAACAGCATCACCTAATATATATTAATAATCCATGATAAAAATGCTTAATTAATATCAAATATATGAATGAAAGCATCTGTGAACGAATATGAATTATGAATAAAGCATTTCTAATGTAAGGAGTAAAACGTTGTGTAAAAATTGAGCTTGAGAAAATAATGTTTTTATATCTTAAATTCTTCAAAACCAATTTTTTTATAATAAATCCACTTTAACATTTATCAAATTGTTTTACACGATTTTAATGTTTTTTGTTCGGTTGTCAAAATGATTCATAGCAATTCCAGTGGTTGAGGGTTCTAACACAGCGGGGATCGTCGTTGGAGTGGTGGTTTCCATTTTAATCATTGCTGCACTCTCTATCGCGGTCGTCATATTCAGGAGGAAGATGTTTACATATTGCAAGAAAGGTAAAAAACGTGAGTATGTGATACTTCAACTTAACATGTGATGTATTTGATTTGAAATGAAATTATACTTGAATAAAAAAACATTTCCCAATAGTCCATTCTTGAATTTACCTGCCGTCCAGTTTACCGAAAACCCTACACTATCCAACTATGATAAACGTTTCGCTCTTTTCATTTCAAGACCTTTCGTTTCCTTTTCTGAGCAGTAACATAACAATCTCTACTGCTTTTGGTTTTGAAATGCCATATTTAAGACCTTCTATCTGGGAATAATGGATATATATTTGGCGTGCTTATAACATTTAACAAACAAAATAAATATATAAATAAATAAGCAACAACAACAACAACAACAAATAATGTCTTGTATTTTACCGCCAATGCCATGAACTGATTTCTAAGACTACCATGAATATAGGCTTGCTCTCTGTGTCTACATCGCTATCTGACATGATTTAATGGATTAAGTAGTAAACAACATGACGGGTGCACCTTGAGGATACAATACGTTACCACTACGAAACAATCTGTCAGATTCCGATTGTTTCCCTTTGTTTCTCCTTGAATCCTGTTTATTTTCCTTCTTTCGTCCTTGTTTGATGTGGTATATGTTATCCTTATGTAATAATGTCCTTGTGAGCTGACACTGTGGTATCTTTTGTCCTTGTGCGTCGACCCCGTTGTATACATTGTCATTGCAGATTGACGCTGTGGTATATTTGGTCCTTGTGCGTTGACCCCGTGGTATAAAATGTCCTTGCAGGTTGGCGCTGTACAGTGAAATTCGTTATTGTTGTTTGACGCTGTGGTATATGTTGTTGTGTACTGATTATGTGTTAGAGTTTGCCCTAGTTCGTTGATGCTGTTGCATACGTAGTCTTTGCGCGTTGATGTATTTTGTCATTCTGTTCTGACGTTGACTCATGTATTGTCCTTGTGCGTTGGCACACTGATATGCTTAGTCCTTGTGCGTTGGCGCTGTGATATGCTTTGTCCTTTTGTGTTGGTACTGTGATATGCTGTGTCCTTGTGTGTTGGCACTATGATATGCTGTGTCCCTGTGTTTTGGCACTGTGATAGGGTTTGTCCTTGTGCGTTGACACTATGATATGCTGTGTCCTTGTGTGTTGGCACTATGATATGCTGTGTCCTTGTGTTTTGGCACTGTGATAGGGTTTGTCCTTGTGTGTTGACACTGTGATATGCTGTGTCCTTGTGTGTTGGCACTATGATATGTTTTGTCCTTGTGTGTTGGCACTATGATATGCTTTGTCCTTGTGTGTTGGCACTGTGATATGCTGTGTCCTTGTGCGTTGACACTATGATATGCTGTGTCCTTGTGTGTTGACACTATGATAGGATTTGTCCTTGTGCGTTGACACTATGATAGGGTTTGTCCTTGTGCGTTGACACTATGATAGGATTTGTCCTTGTGCGTTGACAATATGATATCCTGTGTCCTTGTGTGTTGGCACTATGATATGCTGTGTCATTGTGTGTTGGCACTGTGACAGGGTTTTTCCTTGTGTGTTGGCTCTGTGATAGGGTTTGTGCTTGTGCGTTGACACTATGTTAGGATTTGTCCTTGTGCGTTACCCTATGATATGCTGTGTCCTTGTGGGTTGGCACTGTGATATGGTTCGTCCTTGTGCGTTACACTATTATATGCTGTGTCCTTGTGTTTTGGCACTGTGATAGGGCTTGTCCTTGTGCGTTGTCACTATGATATGCTGTGTTCTTGTGTTTTGGCACTGTGATAGTGTTTGTCCTTGTGCGGTGACACTATGATATGTTTTGTCCTTGTGCGTTCACACTATGATAGGGTGTGTCCTTGTGCGTTGCCACTATGATAGGGTTTGTCCCCCTGTGTTGGCACTGTGGTAGGGTTTGTCCTTGGGCGTTACACTATGATATGCTGTGTTCTTGTGTTTTGGCACTGTGATAGGGCTTGTCCTTGTGCGTTACACTATGATATGCTTTGTACTTGTGTGTTGGCACTATTATATGCTGTGTCCTTGGGTGTTGGCACTATGATAAGGTTTGTCCTTGTGCGGTGACACTATGATATGGTTTGTCCTTATGCGTTACACTATGATATGCTTTGTACTTGTGTGTTGGCACTGTGTTATGGTTTGTCCTTGTGGGTTGGCACTATGATAAGGTTTGTCCTTGTGCGCTGACACTGTGATATCGTGTGTCCTTGTGTGTTGTCACTATGATAGGGTTTGTCCCCCTGTGTTGGCACTGTGTTATGGTTTGTCCTTGTGTCTTGGCACTGTGATAGAGTTTGTCCTTGTGTGTAGGCACTGTGATAGGGTTTGTCCTTGTGCGTTGACACTATGATATGCTTTGTCCTTGTGTGTTGGCACTGTGATATGGTTTGTCCTTGTGCGTTACACTATGATATGCTGTGTCCTTGTGCGTTGGCACTATGATATGGTTTGTCCTTGTGCGTTGGCACTATGATAAGGTTTGTCCTTGTGCGTTACACTATTATATGCTGTGTCCTTGTGCGTTGGCACTGTGATATGCTGTGTCCTTGTGCGTTGGCAATATGATATGCTTTGTCCTTGTGCGTTACACTATGATATGCTGTGTCCTTGTGCGTTGACACTGTGATAGGGTTTGTCCTTGTGCGTTGGCACTATGAAAGGGTTTGTCCTTGTGCGTTGGCACTGTGATATGTTTTGTCCTTGTGCGTTGGCACTGTGATATGCTGTGTCCTTGTGCGTTGACACTGTGATAGGGTTTGTCCTTGTGCGTTGGCACTATGATATTGTTTGTCCTTGTGCGTTGACACTGTGATATGTTTTGTCCTTGTGCGTTGGCACTATGATATGTTTTGTCCATGTCTTTGTCGTTGTGGAATGTTGGTTCTTTATGCTGACACTGTCGTTGGATGTGTGTGTTGGATATACATTCTGTTAATTTGTGTCGACGCTGTGAGGTATTGTGTCCCATTTGTTGGCGTTGTGGTACATTTTGTATTTTCTGTCCGTGTGTCGACGCTGTTGCATATTATTTAAAGTTAGTATTCCTACACCACGAAATACATTTCACCTTAAAAAAATTGTCATTGAATTGATAATTATTTGAAACATAAATTGATTATGAATAAGATCGCTGAAGTCAGTGTACTTTGTAAATATCTACATAGACTGACTGACGTTTGACAGCCATGATGTGAATCATAATTGAAGACTTATACCCACCTAAGTATTGTTTCATGGAAGAGGTTCCTTTTTGCATTGGATTAAATTTTAACATGCTAGATATATGGTGTTGTCCTATACTGGAATGACTTACGCTTTCCCTTGATTGGTTATCAAAAAGGTATGAAGTGTGCACAGTTTGAGAAAAATGAGAAAAACTAGAAAAAAAATGTTTTTCGGAAATTTATTTATGTTTAAAAAAGATTGAAAACGGAAATTTATTAAGTTTGATATTACATATGTGCCATAATTTCAACACCATTTTTTCAGATGATGATACGCAAATGACAAGTCCTAGAAATGGGTATGTACGCTTTTCTGTTAAACGTTAAAGTACCAAGTATCTAAGATAGCTTACCATATTACCTTACAGGGTATTGCTTAAGTTTAAATAGTTGTTAACATCGAATATTGAATCACTAGGTAAGGGTGGGCTCAACAGTCGGCCCCCGCTTTTTTTAATTCTTTTGCCATATGTAGACACATAAAAATGATCAATAACTGCATAAATGATTATTCATAATTACTACTGATAACCGTAGTGAACCTCCTTCCATAACACCAGGTTGAGTGTCGGGTGTATCCTAACAAAATGAACGATACATATCACAGGGGATGTTATTTTGAAAATGAACTATGATAGGGTACAGTGTATAAAATTACTGTTATTTTGATACTTAATATGTCATATTGGTATACACGAAGAAATCGTAGTGATACTTTTAATTAGAAAATTCATGCAAAATTTTACAAAATTTAAAATATAACCAACATTGTAAACTTGCCTATATATATATATATATATATATACAATGGTAGTTTATATTTTAAACTCCCATATATGTATTCGTCTACAGAATAATTTTTATGTAATATCAAAACCGGTAAAGTACTTTTTTAGCATGCCAAACATGATCAATGTCCAACTCCACATAACCTTGAAGATTTGACTATCAATGTTTATTATGATAAATACCGATACATTTTCTGTTTTTGTATAATACCAAATCACTTTATTACATAAGGTATGTTTTAGAGTTATGTGCAGCATTAATAACTCATGAATATGTATTCTGCCATAGTAATCTTTCCTCTGGAGAACAACTTTAGCTTGATATTGTGTAATAGACAAAGATATGCAATTATATAAAAATAAGAAAATAATCTTAATAATAAAACGAGTATACACTTTAAACTTAAATGAGTAATACAGTACAAATGTTGGTTCTTTTCACATTTACAATGTGGTACTCTAGTTCTGATTTTCCTACTTGAATCAGCTTGTCTATCCGTCTATTTGTCCGTAGAAAAAGTTTGTCCGGACAACTTCTTCTAAAGCAGTGGACCAATTTCAACGAAAGTTTACAGATATGATAACTAGCACCTGGAATTGTGCATCCAGGTATTATTTTTTCATTCTGACCCCTTTTTACGAAGTTATGGCCCTGTGTTGACATATATGGCCCTGTGTTGACATATCCTTGTCCGGACATGTCCTCAAAAGCTAAGGGGTCAATTTCAACGAAAGTTTTCAGATATGCTAACTACCGTCTTATGGTGTGCATCCAGGTATTATTTCTTCAATCTGACCCTTTTTTAAAGGAGTAACGGCCCTTTGTTGAAAAATACTTGTTTAGACAACTCCTCCAAAACTATGGAGCCAATTTAACGGCAGTTAACAGATATGGTAACTGCCCCATGACATTGTGCATCCAAGATGTATATTTTCATTCCGATCCTTGTAAAAGGAGTAATGACCCTTTCTTGAAAAAGAACACCTTTGTTTGCCTCATAAACGTCTTGGCCGATATCAGTGAAAGTTTACAGATATGGTAATAACCTCCTGATGTCGTGCATCAGGGTAGTATTCTTTTCATTTCGACCCGTTTTAAGAAGTTATGGCCTTTGTTAAAATCTTTGTCTTGACAACTCTTACTAAACTACTAGGACGATTTCAGCAAAACTTGGTCATCTAGGCTAACAAAATTTGGTATGAAAGTATGCTTTGGCATGGGGAGGGAGTACAAAAAGTATGTCAGTGACATATATACTTAAATAGTTACTGGTGTGAAACTATGGATTGCTTTGCAATGCTTTGCCTTAGTTAGTCTTTAGGTTACATTTGTGGTTTATATAGGAGCGGGGGTATACTCTGTGGCTTACAGTTCTAGTTATTATATTTTTGCCTATTGCCCATTCAGTAAACAAAATATGAAGGAATATTACACTATTTTATATCGTTAACTCTAAACAAATAAAGCAAGGAAAGATATCATTGTCTGACTCCCCATACAAAAATCATATTTTAGCACATTTGATTTTTGTAACCTTGAATGAAGGTCGAGGTCATCAACGTTTACAACACTTAATCTCATTCACAACCTACTTGCCATAATTCAAGACACAAGGACCTTTAGTCATGAAGAAACACATGTTAAAAGAAATGTGGAAAGAAAGCAATGTTTTTCTTTTTTTGAACCAAAAGAGTTATATGACAAATTTACCGGTTGTCATATTTTTGGAAATTCCTGAGGTTAAAAGATATTATTGGCAGTCAACTTTTCAGCAAGTAAGAAAAAAATACTAGTTTTAGAACTACATAAATTAACGTGTCAAAAATGGAAATGTTCTCATTAGAAATGAAATATCACACACTTATTTGCTTAAATCTTCAATAAATAGAACAGTTCTTTATTGAAATAGTGTAATATTCGGTATCAAAATAACAGTTGAAATATGTTGCACACGATAATGATATACTTTTATAGTAATTGTGTCATTTAAATGCTCTAGGAGGAATTGTATTACCGCACCTTTTACACCAACACAGGTGTAAGTCAATGAGTTCCCATTTATCATCAAATAAATTCTGAAATTCTGAATTTTGAAATTCCAAGCGGGGGCCGACACTAATGTAAAATCTCCATAGGCGTTGAACCTACCTTTGGAGAGTACACTGACACTTGATCATTTAACATCCTTTCTATGTCTTTAAAACAATGTATTTATTGTTTTTATTAATCAATCTTTGTATATTGATTTATATATTTTATAAGGAAAGTATTTGAATTAGTTGTTTTTTCAACAAAAAAAACCCCGATCCATATGACAGTTTAGATCCAGAACAACTTTACCAGAATCAAGTGGTTGATGAAGCCGAAGGTAAGCATACTATCACACAGTTCAGCTAAAATTATTCATCTTGATATCTGTCCCGCTGCAGGAAAAATGCTAAAGAACTCAACTGTAGTTTTTTTTAACAAAATGTACCTCCCCGTTAGTTGAATTTCGATAAATCTGATGTGGGACTGGGCGAGAAATCTACCGCTGATCAGGTTGCGCAGATGGTTAGAGTGACCAAATTGTGATCGGTGGTCGTGAGTTAAAATCCTGTCCTGGCCGTTGTGTTGCATGTTTCATTCAGAACAATATTGCGTGTTTTCGTCTTAATAATTTTTCTTTTATTTAAGTCCCGTAATTGATAGGGTTCCTTTAAGTACTGAGTTATTAAAGCTATTGTCATGCAAGTAAAAACGTTTCCAATTTACAGTTACACTAGTCTGCAGCGGTAAAGGTATTCTTTAAGAAGAAGTGAGTTAAAAGAAGATTTTTTTTTGTCAAATACTCTAAAACTAAATGTAACCTTTTCCTAAATATGATATTTTATGGGATAACCAATGAAAGAGGGAGAATGCACATTTACATTAGTTTTTCTTATTTCTACAATTAAAACTCACATTTATCTCTTTTAATCATATTGTCTGAGGAATAATTGAAACCTTGTTTATGTATAACTTCAAATTTAACTTGTCACATTAATGCACTGTGAGATGTATGTGACAATGAATTAAAGCTACAAGTCCCCGTACGAAGTTTTGATGTTTTTATTGTTATCACTTCGCCTCTACTTCTTCTTCCATTTCTTATTCTTTTTGTCCTCGTCATGAACTAGGTGTCTCAGAAACTACAACTGTGTATCATAGATGGCAATCCCGGTCTCTATTTGGTCGAAATTAAGATATTGTGTGATTTTGCTCAAATTTGGTATATAGATGTATTATGCCATTACGAAAATTACCGTGACTTCCAATAGCATCGCTTACGGCTGTCCGGGTATGTTTGGGGACCTTTGGCAACCGTTACAATCAGAACCTGTTAACACAATTTAATCTACTTTACACAACCACTTTTATTGCTGGACTCTTTTCTCTTAGAAATTATTGCGCTGCAGTATCAGCCAATCAAAAGCGACGTTACAAACGGCGACGTCATTGTTTACGTTATGGGCTGATAACATAAATTTTTAAGCCAATGAAAATGCTTGTTACAAGCAAGATTAAATTATATCATTATAACTTTGACATGCTATTTTTCATCTTTCTTTATTTACAGCATTTTGTTTTCATGCAACGTTTTAACCACAATAAGACTTAATTCTAGAGTTTGAGACGTTTTCACTTTAGTCAATGTAATATCTGTAAAGAAAACTAATACCTGTACTACTTATTTTGCATTTATTGTTTCGACGTAAGACTTAAAAATGTATAACAACATTTTCACAGCAATCCAAGTCAGTGAAGGAAATAGGATCAGGTGAGTGTAAATTTATTTAAGAATATATTTTAAGTAATACTGTATTTATTTTCACAGTATGTAAAATAGTAGTATTTTCCACAGTATTATGCAAAGTAATTATATTCTATTGATTTATAAGATATGGTGTTATTTTTTTTTTATTTTTTTTTTATTTACAATGATTTTTCTCTTTTTTAAATGTTAATATACATTGATTTAAAAAAGTATTATGCAAAATATTAAAATTCTCTTAATTTACAAATTAGGTAAGCTAAAATAGTAATACTATTCCTCATTTTACGTGGCACTCTATACAAATATTATATTTCTATCTTTATATAGTATTTCAATTAAAACAGTTATACAAAACTATTTACATCGTATGGAATCAGCCATCAACATAATCCTTATGTTGAAGTAGTTGTAATGTTTCATTTACATCCAAAAAAAATTGTCCAGTGCATGTCACGTGTCAAGTAACTCGTAGGTTTATCTTATAACTTGAAAAATGAATTGTCTTGTCATTGATAATGGAAATTGTCCTGAAAGAAGCAAATATTTTGCAAAATGTCATTTAACGTTGATGAGCTATATTGATTTACTAAGCGTTAAATATGCAATATGTATTTAATAATGCCATTAAAAAATCCATCTAAGTACAACTATTTCTGTTGGTAACTAGCACCTACGAGTCATTGCAAGCACATGTCAACCCTGATATCTACGATGATTTGCACGCCTCTCCAGGTAAGATGCGGAGGATGAGGGACAGAAAATAATTCACGGCTTAGTTATTCAGTTCCTGATTAGCTTCACGGCAGCTTTACACAAAACGTTAATCTAATATATTTTCAAAACAACTGAACTTTAAATATATAATTGCACATGTCATAGTTTAAAATAATCATTGAATACAACAATAAAAAGAAAAAAAGTCAAAAACAGTTTTATGACATTTCCCAAATTCTGCATTTTGAAATAAGTCGACACCTCGTGAAGTTGATAATACTTTTAATACTCTGAACATTAGTGACATGCAGTCGGTGCTTTCTCTATGTGCAGTAGTGTCTACTTTGACTATGAATAAATTAATTGTTTTAAGATATTTATGCACACGACTTTTGATTCTTGAATCATAAAGATATTCATATAGCATTAGGCATTATATACAAGATACAACGTATAGCTTGTTAAAATGTATCTTTGAATTATTCTAATCGTTAACACCGGTTATATCGTGGATGAGCATTATTGTCACGATCGCAGTTTTATATATGTAGTATTTATCTAGAATGGACAAAATACGCAGACAGGTCGCATTTATTATTTGACAACTAATGTGTCTTCACCATCACTACACTTAACTGCTAAGTGTTACTATCAAAAAGTTTATATCATGTGCGATTGATGTTTTTGAAAAGACTTTGAATAAGAAAATTTTCATTGGATAATAAGAAAGTCTATGAAATTCATTTTATCATATGATTTAAATAGCTAATGTTTTCAAAAATATACTTATTTCACACAAAAACAAAGGAAGTGTCATGTTGTCGTTTTACCATAACTTCATTGCATCATATCATATTTACTTTTGATGTTACAATGAATATTATATTACATTTTGAAAAATACATGTTGGCGTTAATACTTTTTGCTCTCTGCACCCCTGGAATATGTTATATCAAATTTGAAGGCTCGGTGTGCGCCACCTTGTTAATGAGACACGAATACTAGTTCGATCCTTTGATGTACATCAAAAGAATCTCGCGGTCACGGAACGGTAAAAATTGACTGGCTTTGAAGTCGTGCGTCTCTCCCTTGTAATCTTCAGAGGACAGGTATCAGCCTAGCGATTGGTCAGTTTTTTTAACCTGACACCAATCAAACAGCTATCTTCGTGCCTTCGATTTTGCTATGATATATTCCAGGGGTGCAGAGAGCGAAAGTGAGCGTAACCCCTGGATATCGAGGATGGATAAATATGAAATACTCCACACTTCATTAAGTAAATGCAAATACACTGTATAATAAATGGATAGTTGACTACATAAATCAGTTAGTGTACTAGCAATTACATAAGCCTGTCATAGTGAATATGAATATTTGTTCTTCAGACAAACAGACAGGACCTGCAACAGGAGAAGGGTATGTACATTGACAGATCCGATTTTTATGTGTAATGAGTATTTCTGATAAAAATATCAAAGATGAGTTTTATGTATTCTGATAAACCATTCTCTATACTATGTATAATTTTGATAACTTTTTCCCCTCCGATTTCACAAAAAAAATGCCTTATACTAAATAATTTAGATAATTTGTTTAGATTTTAGATATGTAATTATATAAGACACAATTATGAAAGAGTTTACTTGTGACTTATAATACTGGTTTCCATGGTAACAAGTTGAAACTTAATTAAATATTAACTTTTAGCAGAGACCTAAAGTACGTAGTACACATGTTTGAACGAATAAACAGCGATTTGAATGTTAAATTAAAGGTTTTGAATATCCTAACCTTACATGGTCCTTTCTCGTAATGACTATTTTGAAATGCATATGAATACCGATCATATTGATTATGCAATATTAATTGATACCCAAAACGTAAAAGTTACGAAATAATTTGAATGGCAAAAACTAGTAGGTCATTTCAGTTTCATAAATGAGTAATGATTTATGTAATGATATATCTTTTATACTTTTCAGAGACCCTAAAGCAACTAAAAAGGACCTCAAAATGTCGAACCAATACGAGAACGTGAAATATTCCGGTAAGACTGCATTTAAGTCCCCCCCCCCCCGACCCTCTTTATATCAGTACATTGGAATGAAAAGTCATCTGTATAGAGCGACCAGTGGTCACTAAAGTGTTAACGGTTGCAATATTGTGACAGGTTTTAGTAGCAAGTATAATTGTCACAAGTATGGATAATTTTATTCCTTCACGTGAAAATAAAATTGTTCAAAACACCACGAGGCTTGGTTAACAATTCAGATCAGTGAGCAAAATACTCCCAATTTTAATAATTAACTAAATTAGTATATCATCTATACATATAGGTAACAGTTGGCTCAAGAAATACAATTGAAGCATCATGGCATAGATTTTGATAAAGATACAAATAATCTCAACAAAGTTAAAAAAAAAGTTAAAATAAATAAAATTGAAACAAATGAAAATACATCCTGTGTTGCTTTTGTCAAGATCTGTGACGTCACATGGAAATGTAAGTGACTGTTTTAAGGATGATAAAAGTAATATTACATCAATCATATTAAAATGTGCAAAATTTCTTAGAGTGAACAACTTATTAATCAATGAATGGAATAATTCGATATACTACAGAAATGGCGGTTAATAAAATTATTTTTAAATTCAATTACAGAATCTGAGCCAACCTATATCAATGCCGTCAAAAAGAAGAAGCACAAAAAGAAAAACAAAAGTTGAACATAACATGGAAGAATTGAAAATACCACTTCTTTGTGAGGAGGGTTGAGAGTTCACTGTTTGCATCACACAGGAGTGGTTGATTGTTATTTGAATAAGCTGTAATGGCGAACCCAATGCATGGCTCAATCTTAGGTGACAAAATGGATGACGTTACCTTGTAATACTACATAAATTGGTGACGCGATTGTGACGTTTCAGAATAACTGCGTGTAAAACAGGTTTGTCTTTTCCCTAGCAAAATCGGGAATTCGCCTATGAAATGTTGGAGAAAAAATATCATTGTTGCAGTACAAAGATAAATGCAAATATAGCAATGTGTTATGATGATGTGAATTAATTATATTAATCCAAAAGTGAAATTAGTATAAGTGTACATTTATATATATATGAACAGTCCTCATTATCGCTACATCCTACTTCGCAATATTATCATTTGTAGAAAAACATTTGAATGGATTATTTTTCGTAAAAGATTTTCGTGCTCATCGATTTGATCCTGCTTCGTTTCTGCTGTTGTCTTAGTTTAAACGGTATTTTATTCAATAATCAGGCAATGTTATCATTACACATACATGTATAATATCAGAGGGATTGGAATACAAGTTTGGAGTGTATTAATATTTTTCTGTTTTAACATTTTCGTGTAAATTAATTGCTATAATGTGTAGAAGAATTAGCCTCATTGTAATTCCACTGTTATGAGACAATTTGTCCAGTTGCGTGTCGAAAGTGTTCTTTTTTTTTGAAAAATAGAGATGTTGTTCATTTCATATTTGTCCGTTTTCATTGTCTAGGTTCAGTGAGTAATTGAAGTATGTCTTTTTATGACATTAACGAGAAAATGCTAAGACGATTTGAGCGTAAAAGGGATTTTACCAAAGAATGGCGAGTATTTGACTCGGGGAACATTTCCCAGTGTACAGCAATACAATGAATGTATGATAAAAATATTGTGTGAAAAGTTGATAATTTATAAATCTTACTTGAACAAGAATTCCACGGAAGTGGATGTGTCGTCTGCGCAGGAAGCTGGGAGATTACGAAGAAATAGCTACACATTTCATTTCAAGAAATAATGTTAAAAGTAAGCAATAATCATAGATTATGTTTTTGGATGGCATCATTTTGTTATATAATCTGTTATTCTGGGAAGAATACTCTGAGTTTTAAGGAACTTGCTATGGATACTCATTGTCACAATTCCAAGTTGAATTTGTATGATTTGTTGGAAGGTTTCCCATAAATAAATGAATAAACTTGTGGATTATGATGTTAAATAGCTAGTGTTGTCAATAACATTTGGAGTAAGACGTCATTTCAGAGGTATACACGGTGGGTCAAGTGGTAGATCGAAGCCGTCCAGTATATAGTTTTAGTGAAGTTTCTATGTATAGTAACAGTGACCTTGACCTTTGACCATCGGACCTGAAAAGCAATCCCAAGCAGGCACTTTTGGTAAGGAAGCACTGCATGATGTTTGAGTTTGATCGGCCAAAGGAAACTCAAGTTATCACACGAAAACAGATTTTCTATTTATAGTAACAGTGACCTTGACCTTTGACCTTCTAACCTGAAAAGCAATCCCAAGCAAGCACTTTTGGTAAGGAAGCACTACATGAAGTTTGAGTTTAATCGGCCCAAGGAAACTCAAGTTATGGCACGAAAACAGATTTTTTGTTTATAGTAACAATGACTTTGACCTTTGACCTTCTAACCTGAAAAGCAATCCCAAGCAAGCACTTTTGGTAAGGAAGCACTACATGAAGTTTGAGTTTAATCGGCCCAAGGAAACTCAAGTTATGGCACGAAAACAGATTTTCTATTTATAGTAACCTTGACCTTTGACCTTCGGACCTGAAAAGCAATCCCAAGCAAGCAGTTTTGGTAAGAAGAACTGCATGAGTTTGAGTGTGATCGGCCCAAGGAAACTCAAGCTATTGCACGAAAACAGATTTTCTATTTATAGTAACAGTGACCTTGACCTTTGACCTTCTAACCTGAAAAGCAATCCCAAGCAAGCAGTTTTGGTAAGGAAGCACTGCATGAAATTTGAGTTTGTCGGCCCAAGGAATCTCAAGTTATCGCACGAAAACCTCTGTTCGGACGCCGCCGCCGCAGCAATACCTATGTGTCACCAGCTTTTCGCAGGTGACACAATGACAGTGAGGTCGTGTGCCCAATTGAAATGTGGTCATCATGGTGTTTTTTTGTCTGTCGCCTCATAACCCTTTATTGCTCATAAGGGGACAAGTGTAATACCATAAGCATTTGAGCTCACCTGGCTGAAAGGGCCAAGAGAGTTTATTTGTTTTGTAATTTTCTTTTTATTCAAGATTTGGTATAATTACAATCAAACATTATATATTATATATGCATACCTCACATGACTCATATATACTCTAACTTTCATTAGTTGGTATATTTGACGCCAGTATTTGATAATTATATGTAGATATCATTAATACAATTAATCCGGTGCCGTCAAACCTGTATTCAAAGACCAAACACTTAAAGTTAATTTAGTGGTCTCTTTTTACACGTGATCTTTTTATACAGGTTTAGTAAACATTTGAAATCACAAAAAAGAGTTTTTAAAGTGGTCATCCTAACAGAGAACGTTTTCCTGAATCTCAGATTTGCCTGAAGATGATTGACAACAGGGCTTAGTTGTGCATGTCTTAATAAAGTTTTCATTTTTTTTTTTTATTATACTTTTTGTAATAAAAAGTTTACTTAAACAATAACTGGTTGTCTGGATGTAATTATTGTTGATATAATTACAAGTGGCCTCTGGCAAATCCCGTAAAACCCTAGCGTACGGTAGATTTTACGGTATTTACGGTAGTTTTACGGTATTTTTTATATTTACATATTTTTCTTTTTTAAGACATATTCCTACAAAAACCATTTGCCCTGCCTCAAAATACATTTCAGGCGGCCATTTTGTTTGTTTACATATTCCTACACCTGTCCTATATAATTACACTTGCCCTCTAACACTGTTGTAATGGGACGGCGCGGGGGCAAATGTAAATATATATTTATATATGCATGTTTGTGTCAGTTTTCAAAATTGTCCTATAATTCACAGTCCTATATGGTAAAAATTGACGGTATGTAGATGAGATTGAATGCATTTGGTTGATAGCAACTTATCTTGTCCACACGTCTTATATCATTGCATCTTCAATATTCCAGGGGTTACGCTCACTTTCGTTCTTTGAACCCCTGGAATGTGTCAATTGTCATAGCAAAAACAAAGGTTCGGCCTGCACCCACCTTGTGGACGAGACGAGAAGACTACTTTGATCCTTTGATGTACATCAAAAGAATCTTTTGGTCTCGTAACCGTTGATTGATTGGTTTTACGTCTGCTTCACTACCGAGTAGTTCCATCGAGTCACCGTACATTTGACTGGCTTTTAAGTCGGGTGTCGCTCCTCTGTAATCTTCAAAGGACAAGCATCAGCCAAGCGATTGGTCAGGCATTTTTTTTTTATCCGAGACCAATCAAAATCCAGCCGTGTGCCTTCAGTTTTGCTATGACATAGCGAAAGCGAGTGTAATCCCAGGAGTATCAAGGATGGTAGCGTTGATTAAACCTACTTCCGCAATGGTGGCGTAAATAGCTCGTTACTCATTAAGGAAAAGGGAGCATCAGTTAAAATGGCGAAGAAGAGTTCCAGTCAGTTTTTTTGACTAGAGTATTCTCCCTTTAATATAGAAGATGAACAGGTCGAAATGATTTTTTTTTGGCTGATAGTTAATACCCATGTAAATTTTTTCATATGCTTTGCTGTCCATAAATTGGACACTTATTTGATGCTGTGCTTGTACAATTCCTGTATGCCAATACCGGTAAAGTGTAAGCTTTGCAGTATAAAGGTCCCGAATGCAACTCCTGCAATTGTCTTGTGTTGTTTTTATTCCTTTTTTCAAACATTAAAATTAAAAAAAAATCAATCTTTGAAATGCATTTCAACATGTGATTTTTATTGAAAAAATATTTCTTTTGAAAAGAACTTTACCCTTTACCTAAAAACTGAAAGTTATGTGCATACATCACTGTTAAAATTAAAGTTGTTGCACATTCCAGAAAACAATGTCAGAAATCTTTGTGTTATTGGTGTATCAAGTTAGGGAATTATATATGATTTTTCCTGATTTCACCACACCCCTTAACTCATTCACCCCTGAAATTTCATAATGAACTATTCCAACCTTTGAATTGGAAGAGAGTTAATGTATGTAAAATGATGCAGGTATATTGATAAAATATGAGTAACAGGAAAATGTTTATATTACATTTTCTGGATTTGTAATTCTGTTTTATGCTTGGTGCAAAATGGTCAAAACTCAAACAATATTACCGTGCTATTTTCGATCAATACACAAGTCAATGGTATATATGGTTACCATTGTGATATAAAAAATGGTGACATAAATAAAAGAACAACAGCTGTCGTAGAACAGCATAGCTCGTCTAATGCCAACATTGTTGAGAGTATGTGTAAAAGTTTCAAGTTCCTACCTCAAACAGTTTTAATATAAAAAGTTATGGGTCATATAAAAAAGGGGGGNCATAAAGATGTTTCCTGCCAAATTTGGTTGAAATCTGCCCAATAGTTTCAAAAAAACTAGAACTTGCCCTAAAACTTTAACCTGTGGAACTTTCCCAAAAACTTTAACCAATTCCTAAAGACTTGTGTCTCAGACCAATACTGAGCAAATAATGCCCAATTTGTTGCTAAGGAACCTCTGAGCAATTGCTGTAACCATATTCCGATGTAAAATTAATAAAAAGTTAAGTTAAACACCAAAACACAGCTTGCCCAAAAACTTCAACCATGTGGGACGCCGACGCCGTGGGTACTACTATAGCCCCCCTTTCTTCGAATAGATGAGCTAAAAACGGCATTGATGATGTTTAATTGACAATTGCAGGTATATTCTAGTGCACACGGAACATTTCTACATAACTTTTACATTTCTTAATTTTTTTTTATTGATACTTAAATATAACAAACTCCTTGCACAAGTTCACACACCAGTATGTATATAAACCATACATCAACATATACATCAGTGAAACATTTATTCATACACATGACTGTTTCAATTTAAAAGCAACCGGAACATTCAGCCATACAATTATTCAAGCATTCACAACACATTTCACGTTCATATTTCACAGATTGCTAGATTTTCACCAAAAAAATAATGTGTTGAGTTTTGAAGGCCAAACAAAAAATATTTGGTGTTTCCTGTAACCCTACCTACAATAAGTGTTTGTGCTTACCCTAAAAAATTTAAGGCAATTTTCAAAGAAGCACTGTTAAAGTCACGATCACTTGTATATATAAACCAAAATAATTATATTTAAAAATGAAATGTGTAACCTACATGTATATCCTAAATTTTTCCAAAATGTTACAGGAAACACATATATTCTTTGTCTGGCCTTAATGATCAAGAATCACCCAACTATTATACGGTAATATTTTTTGTCTAAGTGACATAAACTTATAATTGAAAAGGAAGAATTGAATTTGAAAGACTACAGACCTATACTTGATCATCAATTGCATTAGATCTGGATAGGCTTGGACTAATCGAATATTTATCTCCCTTGCTGAGGCCAGATTGGGACGCCTCAAATTGTCAATGGTAGATTACTGAATTGCTAGGCCCAAGGTTAGTTATAAATATTCCTCTCAGATTGTGAATATAATCATCATGGCAAAATAGATCTCCAAATGTACCAGGTTTTTGGTACATGAGAAAGAACCACAATTAAGTCAGGTGGTAAACAACATTCAATTTTCTTTGAAAAAGTCGTGAACAGAGTTGTTTTTTTTCGGCCAAGACACAACACACTAAGATACTGATATACTCTGTTCTTATAGTAACCTTGATTTGCTTTGTTCGTTTTTCAATTTGAGGCGTTCCTGCAGTCCCTTAGAATTTTCTGGTAAACAGATTCCGTGTTTCTCCTTCAGTCTCCTTTCCTTTTCATGATGGAAGTCGAGTCTCTTGCGAATACGGTCCTTGACCATTTCCACGGAATCACGATTTTTCGCTGACATTTTCAATATACCGTCAAACTTGATTAGTTGCTCAGGATGGAGTTCAGAGTCCACTGCACTGAGAGATTCTGAAAATACAATTGATCAATTGTAGCTTACAGTCACACACCTCTATTGCTTGTAATAGCTTGTTTTCTTGAACACATTAGTCATCAGTGGTTGTTTTATTTGTCTTGCAACCGCTGAAAGAAGTGTTCGAAATTGCTTCGAAATCAATCACTAATTTATGAGTAAGATTATTTGTTTAATCATTTTTCAGGTCTGCACCAAATCTATCGCTCTTATTTTTTTTTATGTTATAGTTAGACCGTGATCAACGAAACCAATGAAATTACTCATTTAATAGTATTAAAAGTTGTTTGTTTAATCTTTTTTTATTGTTGCAAAATTGCTATTTTGACTCTCAAAATTTCTCCCCAGCAATGATTCATTGTGCAGTAGAATTGCAGAAAACTCTTACCTGGTAGGCCTTTTACTTGTTGTATGAGTGTGTTTGTCTTTTCGTTATCGTGATCTAGATCAATTTTATTGAGTGCTAAGATAGCAGGCTTCTCAAGAACTTCCCTGTTGTACAACTCCAGTTCCTGCGATAAGAATACAAGAACTGATGGCTGATTGGCCTGTAACTAGCACCCAGGGTGCATGAAAAAATTGGCTGAAGGCGGCACTTATTCAGATTACAAAACATAGGTAGTGTCAGTTGCTGTAATGGTAATATTTTTGGACACATTCCAAGGAAGATTTCCAAAAATGTTATTTTCTACAAAGTGTAAAAAAATGAATAAAAACAATAACGGGAGAGGGCCAGAAAGTAGGGTGTTTGGGAAAGGGGATACTTATATCATTCAATTAGTGCTGGAAAATGGTGAGGGGTCTGTATAAGTGAAATGATGCTGATTATGTTCAAATATTCAAAGAATGCACAATAAACTGTACTTTGAATCACAAATGTATAATCAAAAGATCACAATACTTATGTTTTGTGTTGTCAGTGCAAATTCCTCGTACAGCGAATGTTTGCTCCTTATGACTTTCTGATGTTATTTGAGGTATGAGGATAAGCATAAGGGAATATATATGTATTTAGGTCAATAATAGCCAAAAACTTAGAACGTAAATAGGAAAATGAAAAAATGCCATTCAATCCTTATATGGTTTTCTTTCTAGAAATAATTTATCAAATTCATAATTTATTCAAGGTATAGCTACAGTTTCCCCCCCCCCATTAACTAATACAGAGGAGGGAAATTATTGGATAGCAAATAATATCCCCCAAAAACAAATACTACAGGGGGTGGGGGGGGGGGAGAATTAGCTAGCTGATTTCTTCCCCCGTGGATTTTCTTTTACTAGGGTGTAGGTGGGGGGAAAGAATCAACTAGCTTGATTTATTCCCCCGGGATAAAATCAGCTACCCTATTTCTTCCCCGGGGAAAGAATCAGCTGGTTGATTTTTTCCCTGGGAAAACTTTCAAATGGGGAAAGAAATGATTTCTACACCTGGATCCTTAAACTAGGAAATATTCCAGAAATCTAGGCTAGTTATTTGTACCATACCTTATTCAGCAAAAGTATAGTTTCAAATGCACTTCTGTAGTTGTATCTGTTGTGGAGCTGGAATCCGTCAATGTCTATGATAAACAGGAGAAGCTTGGTCCTCTCAATGTGTTTGAGGAACTTGTGGCCCATCCCCTTGTTTATGTGAGCACCTTCGATTAGACCTGGCAGATCTGCCACCGTTATCTGTGTAAAAATACAATTGGTTTACCACAAAGCAGGAATTTCTATCTATCATCCATATATAATTTCCGATATCTTAAACTGAACCAATTTCATATTTTTTTCACAATTTTCACTTCAACTTATTCAATTTGATATCTCTAGGAAAACTACTGAACACAAACTAATGAAATTGGACAAGAGAACTTATGGCCTTACATTGTTGATTAAGCGTGGCCCTTTTGTTGGCAGGTGAAATATGATCGTAGTTCTGAATGAGAACTCTAAGGAATATTGATCGCTTTTGTTTGTAGAATTTTTAATTGACAAAGGCTGAGAATGCTCCCATCACAATTTTAGTTGAAATCTGCCTAGCAGCTCAGGAGGAAATGTCATTTAACTAAAAGCTCATGGATGAGAGGTGAGGTGAGGTGACAGATGACAGATGACCCTGTGCAATATAAGGTCCTTTGTACAAGGTGAGTTCACAAAGAAAGTAAAAATTGTAAGTCATTGAATAAGAAAGGTTCTACTAAATTTATAGTATAATAATTTTTTGACAGATGTCCTACCTGTCTCAAATCTGGGTATTCCATAGTTCCAATGTACGGTCGTATTGTTGTGACTGCAATTTAATATATAAACTTTATTCATTTTACAACAATTATGAAAAAGAATGTTTGAACTGATATGAATCATTCTTGTTTGCCTGGATATTTGTGTGCGGGGGTCTTAAATTCTTAATGTTGGAGGAAACCGGAGTTACCGGAGAAAACCCATGTGATCGGGTATGGGCCCCCGTACCTTTTCATGTCCGACTGGGGAATCAAACGCCGACCACCTTGGTGAAAGGCGAGTGGGTTATTTACTGTACCACCCGACCACCTGACTGCAATGTAACATTCAACAGAAGAATTATTAGTGAGATCATCCAGCATTCTTAAAGGACATTGCAGGGCCACGTAGCATTTTGTAACCAAAGAAAACAAATGCCAATGATTACTTAACAATCAAGTACATGTATTTCTGTGTTTTGGAATGGTAATTTAACAGCTCTTTTGTGTTATCAGACAAACAGTCTATCCCACTCTCGACAGTGATACTGAATGTTATTATCAGAATAATTCATCTCATTTTATTATGGTAGAACATCCAGGCACTCATTGGTGCATCTCCCACAAAGAAGAGCTCCAATATTTAATAAGAAATTTTCAGACTTAAAAATGCTTTCACATTTACTATAGCAAAGAGTAATTCACTAAAGAAAAACTAAACTAGCATACCTATTACAATTTCGTTTATAGCAAAACCATTTGTGTTTCTCTGCTAGGTTACATTCTCCAGACATTTTGATTATAATATTTGGTGTGTAACCATTTCAGTACCAGTCATGATCAATATTGTTAATATTTGTTTTCTGATTTATTACTGGGTATACCTTCAAAATGTTCTAACTCCCTAGAATAGGCCCACAACCCACATACATGTACATGTATACCTACATTAATGGAACTGCAAGATAAACTTAAAGACCCATTTAGAGAAGAAAGTGGTTTGACACTCTACAATAATAGGCCATTAATGGCATATTTTTGACAAAATCTTCAAAAATTTAGGATAATTGCAATATTCTTCTCCTATTACAATCATAATTTAGTGCAAAGGATTGTTACTTTGAACACAAAAAATTGAAATGTTTTAAACTACCACACCAACTCCTCTGGTGTCTTCATTAAAAGTAAGAGTACCGGTAACCAGTTTTGATATAACTGTACATAACCTAATCACTGTTCTGTAATAAAACTTTTCAGATTGTGTGCACAGTAGTCTACCTGTACATTCTATTTAAAGGTAAAATCCATATCATTCCAAAGAAGTCGTTAACTTTTCCTATTAGTGGTACTTACATGGATACGAAGCTATCTTTGGAGAAGTTCGAGATACAGCAGACAAGGTAGTAGATTTTCCCGCATTTGGAAATCTGCATGTTTGTAAAAATAGTCAAAAAATATTTGATTTTTTTTTGAAAATACTTATTTTATAACTGAAAGTTTTTTATGAACAATACATATCAATTATGGACTTTTTCTTGCCAAAAGGAATTTGTTTTCTTAATCATTCAAAAAAACAAGAGTACCGCGGGTCGGAACAATATACGCCCGTCGAATGCCATATAGTGTTATATACTTTCTTACATTGAAATAAGATCTGCATCATTCTTAGATTGGTTAGCTGACATGCTATAAAAAATGTAGGAGAGAATCTCCGGACAAAAAATCAAATACTGAAATGAAAAAATCGTCAAATCAAAATTCTTTAAAGGGCGACACAACTTCATATCATTACTATAATGTATACCAAGTTTCAAAGAGATCCGTTGAAAAATGTAGGAGGAGATTGCCGGACAAAAATCAAATACGGAAATGAACAAAGGGCAATAACTTTTGCAAAAATTGTTGAATCAAAATTCTTTTTAAGGTAGACACAACTTCATATCATGATTATAATGTATACCAAGTTTCAAAGAGATTGGTCGAAAAATGTAGGAGGAGATTGCCAGACAAACGAAAGTTTACGCCGGCCGGCCAACGCCATACCATAATACTCCCGTCAAATTTGACAGAGTATAAAAAAGTGAAGCGTAAGAAAATCATCAAGAAAAAGCATGGCGTTTTATGACAGAGAGCATTTGGTGTTACAATTTAAATGGGGTTATAAAAAGAATGCTGACCTGCCGTTTAAAACCCCCCACCTCAACTCATGAAGTTATCCTACCTTGATCCCAGAAATAAACATATAACGTACTGTATTTACCATAATAAGTGGACAGGGTGCTTAAAAATTTGCTTAAAGGGGGGTGTTGATCAGGAAAATAAAATGCGAGTTATGATAGAAAAATGTTGTGCAACTTCATGTGATCAACTTGTTGTTATCACTGAAGGCCGTGATAAAGATGAGATAAATAATAGGTTATTTAAGTGTCACGCATTGATCGCCAGTAAAATACAAAACACCATCATAAAATATACAAAGTAAAAGCGACCAATACCCAGCCATTATAAGTTGACTTATGAGACACTAAAATAAAAACATTATCAACATAATCGTTATCGATACATTTTGAATTTAATCAATTATATAAACTTTAATTATTTAACAACAATTATGAAACAAGTTATTTCAACTTATATTAATCACTCTTGTTGGCCCGGATGTTAGCGCTTGGGGGTCTTAGTGTGGGAGGAAACCGGAGTACATGGAGAAAACCCACGTGGTCGGGCAAGTGACCCCAACCTTTTCACGTCCGATCGGGGAATCAAACTCCGGCCGCCTTGGTGAAAGGTAACTGTGCTATCCACTGCACCACCCGACCAATTCATATGCAGAAGTTAAAAAGTTAAATCATAATGTTGGTACGTATACATTTCAGTGTGGCTGGAATTTTGAAAATAAAATGTATCATCCACTTTATGCTTCGCTGGAAGTCCAGCCATGTTCACCAGACATACATTTCTGCTTTAAATTGTAAGTACTATTAATCACTGATCGGGCCTATTCAGGTCTGGGACGGAGTCGGTATAGTTTCATTCCTGCTGAACAAAGGAGAGGGGCGCTAATTACGGCGAATACGGTACTAATACTGAGTAAGAGATCTTACCCCACCAAAGCAACATCTGCGATGAGTTTTAGGTCCAGAACGATAGTACGAGCCTGCCCTCTTAGGCCGAGGAAGTTGTTTCGTTCCGTCCCTCCATTTCCCCCTTCTGCAACAACCACTTCCTGATCATGCTCGTCCAGGTCCGCTAGAAAAAGAACCCAGGAAGACAGGTCTACTTTATAAATTTCTAATATAAAGGTTCTGGAGTTCTAATTTTGAAAATGATTTTGGGAATATTGAAATGATTGGTTGTTTCAGCTTTATGTATTCTACTTGCATTTCAGCATTTCAAACTCAAATGGAATTTTAATTTATTAAAAAAGAATAAGCCAGAAAGTGTAGCTCCTTGTGCTATGCATCTTAATTACAATGCACAATAAGTAACAAAAGGAGTGGAGTACGTTAGCCAGATTTTGGTCAATTCAAACTGGGCAGCAGTGACCTACTTTTACAATAGGGGTTACATGAAATATATTATCAAGGTGCATTGATTACATATAGTTTATAACTATCAGGTTAATACTTTTCAAAGAAAAGTGCCAGTTTTTCTATTTTCATAAAATTTAAATACAATATTTTGCCTTTCTCAGCCCCCTCATTTTTCTATGCAGAGACCAATATAAAAAAAAACAACCTATTCATTTAATGACCTAACCATGGATTTTATTTTTGCACAAAATCAAAGGATTGCCGTGATTTATTGGACTTAGATATTTGAGTCCTGGCTCTGTATTCATGCTCAAGCATGACTTTTTTGTGCTCAAACCTAATTTCTCAGTTCAGTTATAAATCAATAAAAAAGTCATATTTTTCAATGATTTGGACTTTTTTTTAACAGACACCTAAGCCAAATTCTGTTTTTAATGTTTATATTTTGATTGTTTTCCCCTGATTTAAGTGAGTTACAAGAAAGCTGGTTTGAGCACAGAATCCGTGCTTGAATATGGGCCCATTACTCATGTTTTCACTTTTTAGGACCCACTATACAGTATATATTTCTTAGTAATATGGGACTCAGATGTTCAGGAATCTGCTACAAAAATCACAGGAACTGGCCCAATGAAACATTAAAGTAAGAAACCCTCCTCTGAATGAAAATTTTACACAAAACGATATTTCTTCTTACATAAAGAAACATTTGCATTCTAATAAGTACCTATTTCTTTGCCATCCTGGTCTTTCACCGACACTCCGAGGGGTACCTCTATACATATGTCTTCACCGCTGTTTCCCAGGATCCAGTGTTTTCTGCATTCAACACACAATAAATTTACATAAGAACTTAACGTTTTACACTGCTCCTTAATTTACTGAAAATGCAAATGAGAACAATTTTAAAGGTCCAAATTATTTATACATTTGTGAAAATTAAAATAATTTCATTTGGAGTCAACTATACATGTGTTGGTAACAAGTCACAATGCAAGCAAACAAGCAGTGCAAGTTATGGTGTTCAGAAATATGGAGTGAGTTTTTATGAAACTTAATTGAAAATTTTCCCATGTTCATGTAAGGACTCTATATCTGTAGCTGTAACCCTAACTTTAGACGTATGACTTTGACTCTCAACTGGTCCTAAGAGATAGATGTCAGGAAAAATTTTGCAGCATGCTGTGACCTTGACCTTGAACATTTTTACCTTCACCCGGTTTCAAGAGATTGATCAAATATGTACTCCCATATGTTTCATAACATTAGGCTGAGAACTTTAATTTAGACATGCTAAATATCTAACTCCCATCGGCATCATCTTTTAAAGATTCTGCAGCTGTGGCCTTGATCTTAAATACAATGTATATGACCTTGACTGGGCTTGAGAGATTGATGTCAAAAGCACTAGTGCAAAGTGTCATGAAATTTGGTTGAACATTTTAGTCAGGAATCCACAGATACCGGTACATATTGCATGATTTCTCTCCTTTACTTGCAAAGATTCTATAGTTGTGACCTTGACCTTGAACATATGACCTTGACATTTAACTGGGTTCCAGATATGAAGGAAAAATTGTGTAGAGTTTCACACAATTTTGTTTGACACTTAATTAGTTAAGAAAAAGTGGACAAGCCAAATGTTGACAGATTGATGGACCAGCCATGTATGCATCATCAAAGGTGGTTTTGACATAATGGTAGTGAAAGAGAAAAGATGAAGGTGTTATTCCGTCTTTGCGTATTGCAGAGTTATCTTCTCTTTGGAGCAGGTATTTATTGTTACGTTACTTGTTTGTGAGAGTAACATCATCAATTTTTGAAAAAACGACGTAATTTTCTCACACAAACCAATGACGTAACAATCAATACCTGCTCCCAAGAGAAGATAACTCTGCAATGCGCAAAGACGGAATATACATTGTAACTGGTTTTTAAAGGTTTGTTAAGAAAAGGGGAGCTTGAAAATGTTCATATGAAGCAAGGTGAAATTATATTGACTCAATGATGTATTACAAAATTAATATGTACTAACTAATTGTACTTGCACTCATTGTGATAAATAGAATCTCTCAGCCCCTTCGGGTGAATGATTCTTTTTCTCTCACCCTATTCTCCCATTGTATATCATATACACAATGTAATACTAACGTTACAGGTTCAATTCAGGGTTGACATGATGTTGATGGATTATTGACTTGACATCATACCATTGTTATGAATAAGGGAATCCTCCCGTCCCAACCCTAGAGTGAGGCAAGCCTCGTTCTGGACATAAAATCTTAGTCCTCGGGTTGAGATTTCTCTATCTTACACAACCAGTAGCGATAGATTCTATTAATCTCACATAGGTAAGTGTGGATACACCTGTCCAGGGTAAGAGAATAATAGAATCTACCACTTCTATGTGATGTAGAGAGTAATCTCAACCAAAGGGTAAGATATTTGAAAAGAAGCAAAGGACTTTGTTGTGCATTAAACTTCAAAATATTATCCATGATTTTATGATTTTTTGCCTGCATAACACAGGAGTGATTGATTTTTTTTCTGCTACACTTTCTAACAGTACCGAAAAATTAAGCTGCAACGGAGAACCAAATGTACAGGCCAACAATTAAAGCTAAAGAAATGTGAGATGTTAATTCTGCCTTGGTTATACTGATGATGTCATGATAACGTTTTCAGATCGATAGCACATATACATTTAAGCTGTCTTCCACTTGGTAGCTAAAGTCTATCAGACTCTTTCATGTCCAGGGGTGTAGTATAGGGAAATTCCACATAGCCAAATTTGAAAATCCTGATCGCTGAATTTCCCTATCCTACACCCTTGGGCATGAAAGAGTATTTTACTCTCATTCCAACTGCCAGAATAAGCTCAGAAACCATGAAAATGTGTTTGGACCGGCCACCATTTTGAAAATGCGAAAAAGTGTTCAATAATCTTTTCCCTAGCATATAAGGGAGCTAGTTCACCAGTGAAGTTATTCAAAAAATACAAATCTGTTATATGCAAACCTGCTATCTTGTCCAACCTCTGCAACATATCGTTTCTTTGGATTACTTTCTAAGACAGTATGGAGATTTTCAATGTCCTTGTTTGCTTTAACATAAACACATCCTCCGTCCCCTCCAGAGCCTCCAAACTTCTGAATGCCCTGTCCTCCTGACCCTCCCCTCACGTGTAAACGTAGAGAATCTATAAAGGTGGTCTTTCTTGGTCTCTACAAAAGGAGATGATTTATGATTTGTGAATTTGTAAATTTTGAAACCAGCAATAATAAAAAATATAGTGAGGCTTGTTGTCTACACAGCTATTGGACTACACATAGAAGGATTTGAATTGCTGCAGAAACGTTTCAGTGGCTCATTTTTCATTTCAGTTAATGCTTTATATTTATCCGAGTTTCCTCTAGAACTTATATTATACCCGGCCTCAGAAGCTACGTTATTGCAGCTAAGTTTCCTCTAGTTCTGACATCAGACTTAGACATCTAGATCTATTAATCAAAATGTGTAAGGCTGGCATCATGACCAGAGGAAACTCTTTTATGTAAAACTGTAATGAAACTGTAATAATGTCTGAAGCAATCTGAATAAATACAGCTGTTCATTATTACGTACCTCATGAATATATAACCGTAGGTATTTTTATTGACATCTGATTTTAATGAGATTGTGTTTGAAATCAAATATACCGTAATTACAAAAACAAACCCAGCTAATTATACATAATCTGCTTCAAGAGAAGAGGAATAAGTTCCTTACTGAAAATCATCTCTATCCGGTAAAACTTGTACTTCAGCAACATCGGATCATCAAGATAACGTTGCAAAACATATTTATAAACATATCAGCTGCTCACCTATTGTTTAGTGTCGATTTGTCAAGCGGTTAAATCTCGAGAAAGTAAACTGGGCACAGGTACTAGCCTTACGTCTGTCAATACACTTATAAGATTATAGATCTATCTGTCAAAATGTCTAAGTCTGGTGTCAGGGCCAGAGGAAACTTGGGCTATATTGACGGTACCATATATAGCTCTGAATACACAGTACCAATCAGTGTTCACCATGAGGATGAAGAGATCTCGAACCAACATAACAACAGGAGCCGATTATAACATCAATGGTAGTTCACTCCAAGTAGTAGAGCACAACCCATACCTTGGAGTGGAAATAGCCAACAACCTGGACTGGAAGCAACATATCAACCAGATGACCACAAAGGCCAACGAATTACTAGTCACATTGGAAAATGCAAACAGGAAGTGAGAGAGAAGGCCTACCTGACACTTATCTGACCAAACCTTGAATATGGAGCTTCAGTCTAGATCTGGGATCCACATAAGAAATACCAACAGAAGTCAATAGAAAGAGTCCAGCGGCAAGCAGCTTGATTCACAACCGGCGATTACTCGCGTTATAGTAGTGTAACCAGGATGTTGAACGAGCTACACTGGCCACCCCTACAGCAGAGACGGGAGGAGAGTCGACTAACCAACCTCTACAAAGGCATCCACAACACCAACGCACTGATCATACAACCATATATCAGTAGTAACACCAGAAGTGGAAGGAGACAACATAACCACGGCTATATCAACATACGATGCAACACTGACACCTACAAATACAGCTTCTTTCCAAACACCATCATGGAATGGAATGGACTACCATCAGAGGTCGTCGAGCAGCTGACTGTGGAGGCATTCAAGACCTTGCTCCACAGTCATCTTGCAGAGTGAATGTGGATCCTGTAAATAGTTTTAACTTTTTAATCTGTTTTTAACGAACTTCTGTGGAAGCCACGCCACACAAGTCTCCCTGCAAGTTGATGCTGTTCGACGGCCCTTTGCAGGATCGCCGTAAATGTAAATATTGACAGACGATCGCGAGGCTAGGCCTAGTAGGCCTATCTGTGATCGGATCATGGTAGCCCAAGTTTCTTCCGGCCCTGACACGAGATAGATGCATGTCAAAAATGTCTAGGTTTGGTGTCAGGGCCAGAGGAAAATCGAGCTATAGTCATGAGTGCCTGTTCATTAATGTCATAATGATAATCGTGATTCGCTGATTCAAAGTGATTGCATGAGAAATTTAAAGGCCGGGGAACTTTACATGTGAATGATCTATGTCATTCTGTTCGTCATGTTGCTAAATTCAACTTACAGTATTTTTGGGAGCGGCTTTCGTTGAATACATTCGTATCGCCAAAGCGAACATGCTCTTTGTCGTATTCATGTTAATGTTGTTTATTCTGACCCGTTAATCTCCATCACGGTCATCTCATGGGCGCAGACATATTGAATTAACTTTGTCGCCTTCACAATAGGAGATCCAATATCAAATCACGTGACAGTCCAGTCAAAATGGCGAGCGCATCGAACATGGACGAAGGTGTCAAAGTTGATGGGGCGACGGTACTGGCGAGGGCCTTAAAAGCACAGGTAATTTTAAATCACTTTGGTACAGAGTGTCAGCTTTGGTACTATGCATATATTTATTAAAAGTAGACTGTCATTCAGTATCACCTAATAATAATTGATAATGACCAGTAATTTCAATAAGCTTTAAATGTGTCCCACTTTTTGACATTTCTTTATCTCACGTTTTATCAGACGCACTGGTTATTGACCCGTTCTAGATAGGATATAATAGACACGAAAAGTATATCTCTAACCTCAGTTATCATCAATGCTGCAACTAAGTTTTACAAATAAAACTTTTTAATGCCTGATGGGCGTACACGTCTTCATATATGTTTCAGCCCGGAATTAGACTATCTAAGTCCGTAGTTTCAGTCTTACATGTTCAAGCCAGAAAATAAACTGACATTCTTTAATAAAATATATTATGAATCTGGTAAACATCAATTGGTTTCAAATCTATCTTTTAATTTACTTTCAGTCTGATCATCATACCCTGGATTTGTTAACTTACGATATATATGTGATGCACACAGAAAACATGATTGCTTTTTTATTTTGTATGGTTCAAATCAAAGATTCCCAATCTCATTATTCTGTAGTTCAAGGTTGGTAATAAGAACATACTTTTACTTCCTGGTTTACTTTCTGTAACTTGCTGGAAGCTGATGATGAACATACGGATATCATCACATGTATGAAAAATCAAAAGTAGATTTCATACAATCACAATTATTATGTGAAACAAATTTAACATACACTGTACATGCCATTTATTTTTACCAAATTAAATCCATGCACACTCGCTTTTGCCATGGAACACCTGGTCAGTCCTATTGAGCTCTACAATTTATTTTCAGGGTGTGGAGTACATGTTTGGTATTGTGGGGATTCCTGTCATTGAAGTTGGTATGGCAGCACAAGCAGCTGGCATCAAATACATAGGAATGAGGAATGAGCAAGCGGTAATAATTATATATATATATGCGTCTTTTTTATTTTAAAAATATGTTTCCTGATTATGGAGTGCCATTTCACTTAAATTCAAGTTCAAGTTCTTTGTTAACTTTAAGTCTTGCGACTTATCAGTGTAAATGAACATGATCTCTGATCAGTTTTGTATAATAAGGAAAATGTTTAAGGATCCCCGTCCCTCCGCCTAAAAATGTAATGAGGCATTGTTTTTTTTTTTCTACACGCATCGCTATTGCATAACCAAGTCATTTCTGAACAATAACCAATACCTTGCGGTAGTTTCTTCAGATTTTTTGGGAAATTATGATTTTTTTTTCTTTTTTCGATTTTGTTTTACAATGGAACAAAATGAAACAAAATACATTTTATTTGATGCAACGATGGTTTATTAGAAATAAAACACATAAAAAATAATAACAATGTCAATATTGATTAACAAAACACAAAAAAACTGAGTAATTTTCTAACAATAATACTAAAACAAACAAAAATGTTACTTTTTTGGAGGCTTAAGTATTCTGTCGTAGTCAAATTTTGATATAATCTGCCTAAACTGTGTACAGAATCTGCTCAAGTTATTCTACTCTTTAAATCATCAGATTCAAACTTTCCTGGCTTAAGTTTGTTCCTAAAAGAAATAAAACAAAATCTATCTGCAGAGCAGCAGTGAATTCACAGAGACATGTAAAATTAAATAGATTTTTCAAAACTTCAGGAATATTGCAAAATTAAAACATTTAGGAAATCTATACATTCAATTGTAAATGAAAAAAAAAGAAATAGAAATTACTTAATTGAAGGTCCTATTCATTCTGCTTTTTAGGCATGCGAAGCAAATGAAACATATTTTTGGGTATGGGGAACAATTCCTCTTTTTTATTAGCTCACTTTAATACTGATGACTAATTATTCAATAACTATAACATAATTATATTATTATGATTACATGTATATACTTAAATATGTATTTTTGTTTATTTGCAGGCCTCCTATGGTGCCTCTATCATTGGGTATATGACAGGAAAGTGAGTTAAATATTAACTTTTGTTGAGACGAATATGTGGTTACATGAACCTGAAATGGATATTGACCAAGATGAAATTAAGGTTTCATTTTAAATGTGTTTCACTCGTTTGGCAGAATATACCAATATTTTCACTCATGCTTTGCACTCATTAAACATATTGTTATTCTGCCATACTTCTGCAATATATATGTCATATTTATTTGGTAACTGTTCAATATTCTCTATACATATGCCTACTTTTAAAAATCATTGACCTACTTTTGATGGAAGCACAGGTCATTTTTGATTTATTTTTGACAGAGACAAAGCAAAAACATTCTATCATCTATGATGTAAATATGCAAGACCACACACTTGTGTTTTTCTAATGAATCAGAAAGCACAAGTTTATTGCGCGGACGAATATATCCATGAATAATACTACACTTTTACTTTTCAGTATACATATTTCTTCCCCTTACGGTACACTGCATGTGTATGACTTAGACATGACCTATAGCCTTAACTTTGTATGTTTGTAGGCCTGCAGTGTGTCTGGTTGTGTCTGGGCCAGGATTGGTGCATGCTTTGGCTGGACTGTCGAATGCCAAAGAAAATTGCTGGTTTGTATCAGACTGACTCAATAATTGGCATACTTGCCAACTCTCCCTAAGGCCAAATCAAATATATATGTGTGTTTCCTGTTTCGGCTCCAAAATAAATAGGGTAGGTAGGAATTTTTTTATGTTTTTTTCTGGTGAAGAAAATCACCTGATCACCTCAGTGAATGTTAAAAATATATTTTCCCTACTGCTTGACACTAGTTTTTAGTAATCCAAACTCCACTGATGGTCACCAGTCAGTGTTACATTATCTTTTGTATTACCGGTACTGATGCTTTCTGTTCTCAATTTCCACTGCCACCAGTTCAAATTAATTGAACAAAAAAATAAGTATATTTATATTTTACACTGTATTTAAGATTTAGTTTTTTATCTGTCATAGAATATACAAGTCTTCACTATTGCGAACTCAATCTCTCCACTCCAAACTTATCTCCAACTATAAAATGAAAAAGCTTCACAGATCTACAAACTACAGCTAAAACTACTATTATTACTGACTTTCTAACTCTCCTCTATATCTCTAAACCTCTTAATATAACTCGGTTTCCCTAACTCAACCTCCTTCCTCCAGACTGACTCCTTATTAACTCAACTCCCAAACTCCTTTTACTCCTGCTAAAATTTAAGGACCCCCCCCCCCCCCCCCCCCCCCNGTCACACTAATCTGCAGATCCCAACTTATCATAACCAATTATTTACAGCTACTTATAATTAGCTATTATCTTCAAATAAAACTCTGACACTGACACAGGAACAAAGGCTATTAAATTCATAGCAAATTATACAAATAAACGGCTATTAAATACATAACAGTGACTGTGTAAAACTGAAAAAATGTATTAGGGTCAGCAAGAAAAAATAGGGTCGGGAAATGGGAAACACAGCTATATTTTTATTTGGCCTTAGGAGGGAGACTCCCGATTTTGGGCCCTAACACTTAGCATTTTCAACCAGTGAATTTGCTAAATTATTCCTATATTCAAAGGGCTGATGATTTCAGCTCAAAAGATGCCATTTACAAGTGTTATCTTTTCTCTATGGTGTACATACACTAATTTTAGTTATGCTTTTAATTCTGAGAATGTGTAATCTCCCCCAAAGAAATTTCAAAAAGTTGGCAAATATGAATTGGCTTTTCAGAAACTTCCAAAGAATTGCCTTCCTTATTTTTGTGGAAGTCAAGCTAATACGTCAATGGTATTTCTTTGGGACTTTTCTTATGCAACACTTTTTAATTTTAGCATTTCATAACGGGACTTATAATTAGCTCGTTGCTTTGAAATTGAATTGTTGGATCAGATTTTCATAATTTTTGAAAATTTATTATTCTGGAGATGTTTTTCTTTAAACGAAAAACATTTGAATAGTTCTCAGGGAATATCCTGGAATATTGGAACATGGAGGGGTTAATTTCAGTTTTGAGGGGTCAATGGTACCCTCCAGGATTGTCCCTGGTTTTGCTTAAAATCTTAATGAAAACTTTTGACAATTTTATACTCTAGTAAATGTCAATAAAATTCAAGTGACCAGGTGCGGCGTAGTGAACATCACACTTGCCTTTCATTAAGGTGCTTGGGTTTGATTCCCTGATCAAATGTGAAAAGGTATGGGGTTACCTGCCCAACCACATGGGTTTTTCTCTGTGTACTCCGGATTCCTCCCAAATTAAGACACCCTGCATGCTAACATCTGGGCAAATAAGAGGGATTAATATAAGTTGTAAAAATTTGATTCATAATTGTTGTAAAATAAATAAAGTTACTATGAAGTCTAGTGGGCAGCTTGGTCAAGTGGTTAACACTCCGGCCTTCCACGCAAGCAGCCGAGGTTTGATGCCCACACAACTCCAACAACCCAGGTGGAGTATAAATTGGTCTGGGGTGGATATTGCGGTATAAGTGCTGTAGCATTCAAGTGAGGTGGCACTATAAATGATGCGGTTGATAACAAGGCCCCAGTACAAACAGAACACATTACATCTCGAGCATGCATTTAGGCATACACATAGGGAGATATTAGCCAGGTGACATAGAACTAGTAGTTAGCCTCTGATAAGGCAGCTCCTGCGAATTCCTCAAAAATTGTAGTGATTAATGTATATATGCTAATTGTATCAATTGTATATCTATGTACTGTAAAGCGCTTTATAGCAGCTTATGTTAGCTAGATAGGGCGCTATAGCAAATGTTGTATATTATTATTATTAAATTACTATTTTTGTTGAAAGGCCAGTGATTGTGATTGGTGGATCCAGTGAACAAGATCAGGAGGCCATGGGGTCATTCCAGGAGTTACCTCAGGTACAGTAACTGTGGTTACCAGAAATCTATCATCAATAATTACTAGGGAATACTTTATTGTAAACCAACACCACAAATTATCCTGCATAATCCAAGATTTTTGTGAAAACATTCTGAAACAATCAAAAATTCATGATGAAGTTCCTTTTATAGGTCTGTAAATATATATCTGAAAATTATTTTACAATCAGGCTGCCTAGGCTAGCCTGGGCCCTTATTCATGAAACTATTCTCATTCTTCAAACACACATTCTGTGCTCAAGTCCAATTTCTTTTTCAATCAATAAGTTTAAAAAAAAAAAAAATTATCAATGATTTTAAAGAATTTTTTAGAGACTAAATTTCGAACACCATTTTCAAAGAATTAATTTGACTTTTTGACCGTACCACCTGATTTAAACTAGTTACAAGAAAATTAGTTTGAGCACAGGATCCATATTTGAGCATGAAAACGGTTTCATGAATATGGGCGGCTGTCATCCATCTGACTGCTGACCACATTTCGACACTGCTGAACTGGTGAGGACATCCCAGAACAGGATCATACCTTATCACTAGGAAAGCAAGCTTGCTAGTAAAGCAGTCATTAAATCCCCCGTTGTATTCCTTGGCTGCTACTACACTATTCACCCCTCCATCTTGGTCAAAGATGCAACACAGTGCCGTGATGTGACTTGAACCTGCAACCCTTCGGTCACGAGCCCGGCGTCCTACCACTTGATTACCATGCCTCTTTGGCTGTTACACATAGGGCTGCAACGACACACTAGCTACCTCAAGATACAATATGGATCATGCTATGATGCTTATGATACGATACATATCACGGTACACATATCTGCTCAAAAGATCAACTTCATAATGATGAAGTGCAGGATTTTACAGAGTTCTGTCATAGACTTGCATAGTAAATATACAATGTATTGTCAAAATACATTGAGCATGATTTTTAGTACTTTTGCAAAGTAGCTCACATTTTTACCCAAAGTTTCCAAAACAATAAGCAAACTTTTAAAGTTTAAAAAGAAAAAAATATTGTTTATTATTTCAGTACCCTTAGATTATCGCTATACATGCAAATTCTGTTCGATTGTTCAAAGGTCGATAAGCTTAACTGCAATTTAACATGAAATTGTCAACTTGTATCTGTTCAAAAATATTGAAATTGACAACAATGTATATATGTTACTTTCAGGTTCAATACTGATAAGTTGAGGACAGAAAATTCAGAATTATTTATTACAAAAATGAACTTTAGGTCCCCCCCCCCCGTTAGAAAGACCCTTCCTAAGAATAGAAAACAAAATGTGTTTTTCAAACCATTTCGCTAACTATAGGCTTTGAAAAACATTGCAATCATTTTAAATGTCCTTAATTAATTGATGGCACATTTTAAATGTACACAATCAATGTACTTGTAACAGGAAAGAGAATAGTGCACTTCCACCGGGGATCGAACCCTCGATCTCGAGGTTCCTAGTCGGACGCTCTACCACTAAGCTAAAGGGAAATTCCCCCTAGCTCAAAGCTAGAATGCGACCTTAATCCTATGTACAATTAAAAACTGCCACACACTTATTTGTTGATAACACCTAGAAATTCATTGAAGAATATTCTTATTGGGTGATATCTTAAGGGAGATAATTCTGACATCATCTGTTTATACTATGGATGTATTGACAGACTAGGCAAGTACCTGTGATAACATTTCAAAATTCAATAGACTTTATGCTTATTGCTTATTGGGCAATTTTTAAAGGAGATAACTCTGACACATGATACAGGAATTATAAATCATTACGGTGTAGTGGATTACCCATAATTAACTCAGATGTCTGGTTATTTTTTGAGATAGCATTTTTGGGAGGTTTAATCTGCAATCATTCACATTTTCCAAAAATGCTATGTGCCCAGTTGGTTGCTTTATTACATTAAATAAGGTATGTGCATTTACTGTACTAACAGATCTGGTATCAGTAGCTTAAATTTTCTATCAGTAATAAGTTCTTATCAGAATTATGTTTGATGATCATGTCAGTTTTAGGTAAGAATTAACCCTTTCTGTACATGGTGTATTTGTGTAATCAGAGATTGTTTTGTTGTGACAGGTGGAGGCAGCAAGACCCTATTGCAAATTTTCAGCAAGACCCAATAGCATAGAAAGGATTCCCTTCTATGTGGAAAAGGTAAATGTACCATCATTATATGGGTCAAGGTCTCAAATACATTGTTCATTGAATGACCCCTGAAATTACATCATTATTTAAATCAGAGTTGTTGAACATTCCAGGAAACAGTGCCAGAGATCTGTGTGTTAATTATTGGCATATAACGTTAGGGGATTATATAGGATTTTGCCTGATTTCACCACACCCCTTAACTCATTCACCCCTGAAATCTCATATTGAACTAGTCCAACCTTTGAATTGGAAGAGTTCAAATGTGTCTTCAGGGGTGAATGGGTCAAGGTGTCTGACATTCTGCTACCACTAGCCCTCCACCGCTGGGTCCCGGGTTCAGGGCCTATACATATATAGGGCAGTCGCCATGTTTTTGCAGGTTTTTGGTTTTTCTCTGGGTTCTATAGCTTTCCTCCACCAGCAGAACCTGGCATGTCCCTAAATGACCATACCTGTAGCTGTTAATATGACGTTAAACTCGAACAATTAAACCAAATCATTGAATGAGCCAGGCCAGGTTTGTCAACAGCAAACTGCATTTGGCTAGACCAAACATGGTTTATTTGGTACTATTGTGCAGTAGAGAAAGAACATGGAGTAAAAAGACCAGATTAACATTTACAGTCCTAGAAAATACAAATTTGGTTTTATGAACACAATATGGTTGCCTTCCTAATATATTTAAATAGCTGCTTTTAAAGTACATCTCAAAATGTTGGCAAGCCTAAATGCTTTCTATGTTTACAGCCATCTTTTTACATCAGAGCAACATATCTGACTTTACATTTGTTTTTTATGCATGACATCTCTCATGAGGAATACTTTAAATCTAACTATCACAGAAAATAACAACAATATCACATACATGTATTTACACATTCAATGTAGATGTAGGCGTGCCACTCTATATTTAAGATGGCGTATAAATATAATACTGTGAAATCATACATTTTTCGTGGGGCCCAAATTTCATGGTTTCTGACAAAATGCTATTTCATGGGTATGATTTCATGGATAATGAGTACCCATTCAAACAGAGAATTGTTTTATATCAAACATGTAATTAATTTGTGGACCTATGAATTCGTGGAAGATGAGAGCCATTACAAAATCTACAAAATTAAAAACACCACAAAAAATAGTGATTCCGCAGTATACAGATGTAAAAAGATATTGAAACTAATTTAGCTTAAGTTTCTTAATGTGTACATTCAAAGCAATTTGCAGTGAAATATGTTTAAACAATAATATAATGATTTGGCAGCTGTAACTATAGCTTGAGTTGAGTGTGGAAAGTGTTTAATGAATATTGGACCAGGACTCAAGATTCTGTTTTGCAGAATGTTTTGAAGAGAACTCTGCTTCATACTATATTTGATAAACTTTGAAAATGTGACAAGAGAATGCTGCAAAAAGTAACTACGGTAAAAGCCCACTTGCGCGAACTTGTGGGGCCGAGATCAATAGTTTGAGGAATACATGGTATTCGAGTATTCCGAGGTTGCTCCAAGATCGTCATGTATATATCTGTCAAATCTCAAGTGATTATATTTAAACATACGTACGTATTGTAAAATGGTACTTATGCTATTATTAAGCACGTCACTGATACTGGTAAACTGTAGTCTTAGCCGGAGATATTTTTGAAGTGCCGATGTGATACACAGGTAAATCATCTGTCAGGCGTGACATGTCACACCTGTTCGACGAGAAGATAGGCTCAATACTTTGTCCATAAAGAGTCTGGGACAAATTTTTGTTCAAGGAATACAGGGACGGGTTTTCGAAGAATAACGGTTCGACTAATCTGGGGTTATGTTACAAAGAATATGTACGATCTCCGTCGGGACCAAACAAACTGTTCTACAAATGAGGGGTATTCAAAATAAACAGTGTTCGAGGAAGTGTGATTTTACTGTAATTTGATCTTCTGTTCTAGGCCTATCGTCAGAGTATCTATGGCAGACCAGGGGCATGTTACCTTGACATCGCTGGCAACATGGTGAATGCTACTGTTAATGAAAAAGATGTATGGTTAGTATTAAATTGGTAGATCTGTCCTCTTAGTTGAAATCAATTTTCTTGAGGTGATATTTATGCCTATGCTTGGGTTATTTTATAAGTAAATAATAACTAAACTTAAATAAACTTTAAACTACATACACCACACTGACAATGAAAATTTAATATATTTGTAAGTTTAAAATTTTGGGATTTTTGGGAAGACTTATAATTACTGTCAAATGGAAAACTGTTACCCCATTTATTTTTTCAGCCAGACAAATTCTGTTATATTAAGTTAAAATGCCAATTTAACTCTCAGCTTACTTGGTAAGAAGGAAAGAGGGTGAAAATTTGCATGGAAATTTATCATCTAACATGAATGTTATTTATGTTTGCCTCAGGTCCTCTATTATCTGTCCCCCACCTCCCAAGAGTTTTGCTGACCCAGAAAGTGTAAAGGTAGCTGCAGACCTACTGTACTATGCCGAAAAGCCTTTAGTGATAGTAGGCAAAGGTTGGTAACTATAAAATACTATCCCTTATATGTATTGATGAGTCTAACAGTCAAATGACCTTTGGTGACCTCTCAAGACAGAATGACCTTTGGTGACCTCTTATGACACCTGACCTCTCATGACACATGATGACCTTTGCTGACCTCTCATGACACCTGATGACCTTGGTTGAAATATCATGGTATATGATCACCTTTTCTGACCTCTCATGACACATGATGACCTTTTGTTGACCTTTCAACACACCTAATGACCTTTGCTGACCTTTCACAACACCTGATGATCTTTGGTGACGTCTCATCATATCCATTGACCTAATTTGTTGATATGCCATGAAATATTATGACCTTTCCATGATATTGCATAATATTTTTACCATGATGACATATCAGAGCATTGGAGAGATGTGAATAAACCTTTGATGATCATTATTGCATGATGACCATTCCTGGCCTTTGAAGATCTTTACTGACGTATAGTGACCTTAACTCTCCTCATTGACTTTTGATGATCTTCTCTTAGCTTACCTATACCTCTGAGGCGTCTGACATTCTGCTCACCACTAGCCCTCCAACACTGGGTCACAGGTTTGAGTAGGCAGTAGGTCGGTGGTTTTTCTCCAGGAACTCCGGCTTTCCTCCACCACCAAAACCTGGCACGTCCTTAAATGACCATAGCTGTTAATAGGAAGTAAAACATAAATAAACAAATAGTTACCTCTAATGACCTTTACTGACCTCTAATTTACATTTTATTTAGGTGCTGCTTATGCACATGCTGAGGCAGCTGTGCAGGAGTTGGTGATAGGGGCACAACTCCCGTTCCTCCCAACTCCCATGGGAAAAGGGGTCATACCAGATGACCATGACCTCTGTGTAGCTCCTGCAAGGTCAAAGTTAGTATGAGAAATCTCTGTAGCTCATAAAAGGTCAAGGTCAGTGAGGAGATGTATACAATATTGTTTCTTTCCATGAAATAAGACAGAACTTTAAAGAATAAAGTCTGAATGCCCTTTATATTTTAGAACAGTGTAACATATAAGCAATGTAAATTAGTACATGTACAGTATTGGTTTAATATTTATGTGGAAAACTTACCATTTCACACAGTTTTCAACTTCAAGTCCTAAAATCATTAGGCCTGAGGTGTTATTTGATTGGAAACACGTTCATTGTACGTCAAAGATTCAGCTAACAAAAATACTATAAATAGTAACAAAAATACTATAAATAGTAACAAAAATAATATTCGGAAAAATTAAATCTGTATGACACAGAATTGTGGTAAATATTACTTTCTAAGAAATAAAAAGTCTATATTCATGGTGTGAATTCAGTCTTTGAATTCTTAATGCATGTTTTAATTACATTGTATACAGGCTATGAAAAGTCAGCGTACAATATATACTAGATAAAACTTCCACATTGAATTCTCATAAAGCTAACCAGGCTTGAACAAACTTTGCCATGATGTTGAAAGAAAACATGATAATGTCAGAAATGTGATATTAAACAGAATGACATTAAGTGGAATGTTCTGTAGCATACTGTATATCACAAACTGTTCATGGGTACTTTCCTTCGTGGTTTGAGACCAGTTAGATCGTTTCATGATACAAACTTTCGTTTATATCCTACAATAACAGTAGACATGTATATCATCCAAATTCGTTTGCATTTATTTTCGTGGTTCAATGGCAACCACAAAAACCAGGAATGTTTATACACAACCAACATTTCATACAGTAGTATACTTGAATACATGTATAATCAATGGATTTCACTGTAGTTTACATCAATGTAAGACTTAAAATGAACTTTACTTTCCCTTATATTTCCAGAGCACTGCAGGAAGCAGACGTCATCCTTTTGCTTGGCGCTCGTCTGAACTGGATGCTACATTTTGGGATGCCACCTAGATTTAATCCCAAGGTGAAGATCATACAGGTAGACATCTGTCACGAGGAAATGAACAACAACATCAAGGCTGCAGCCATGTTAGTGGGCAGTCTAGACACCGTCCTGAACCAGGTAATCATCTTATTTTTTGTTATCCTTCTGTCTGTGAAGTTAACGGTCTTTGTACATGTATAAAAGATGTGCATTGCTTATAGGTTGCCTTACAAGCGTCCGCTGTGGGGAATTTCCCTTTAGCTCAGTGGTAGAGCATCTGGCTGGAGAGCCAAGGGTCGCGGGTTAGAGCCGTAGCGATGCCACTATCTTTATCACTATTCCTCATCCTACTACACATGTATACTGGTCTACAGGATGCCTGTCCCAATGCATGCAAAACACTAATTCCACTTTGGTTGTTTGATAAACAGTTACCTCCCCTGATTTTGTTTTGTATTTGATTATAGAGCATTTGGGCTAATTATAAGGCCACTTCTGTTGACCAGGTCGCTCAGTTAGCTATAGTGACAGTATAATAATGATAGGTCCAGGGTTTGAATTAAGGTCTGACCGCACTGATAATTTACACTAGGAACACTTCTGAATATATATTTTTCATCTTTACTGTTTATTCATAAAAATCCCACAGAGTATGATTTTTTTCCTTTCATAAACAATTTATCAAACCATGCCAGAAAAAAACAGTTTCCAATCCAAAATTACAGTGTTTGGTCATGATACATGGATCCTTTCATAAGACAAAAATCATGATTATCTATTGATGTGCCATCGCATTGAATAATAAACATTAGCATATTTTGCAAAATTCAATTTTATTTCCCAGTTGAATGAGGAAATCAACAGACGTCCTGGTAAATTTGCCTTCAGCAAGGCTGCCCCCTGGTGGAAAACTTTGAAAGGAAAAATCCAGCAGAATCAACAGAGTGTACAGGTAAGAGGAGATAACTCTCTCTTAGAGAGTGTTTACGAAGAATTTTTGACAAGTTTTTGACAGACATTCAAAAGTGTTAATCTAGTTTTATGAAGAGTTTTTGACAAACATTCGAAATTATTAATTTAATTACGAGACCTGTATAACAGTTGTTGAGTACAGAGTTTAATTCTGATGTTAACATGAAAAAAATGTTCTGTGAAGATTTTTTTTCTCATTGATGGAATTTTTATGATAATCCCAATAGCAGTATTTTCTGCTAAAAGAAATATATATGTGCATCGACAATAATGAGCTTACATGCAGCATGTAGAACAGCTACATGTACTAAATACTTAAAATTAAACATAAGGACATAATGAAGTTTGTTTGTGCTTATATTGTTACCTTTCTTTTATAGAAAATGATGTCCGACAAATCTGTCCCACTAAATTTCTATTCTGCATATGAGGATGTAAGTATCAAAACAAGACAATCAGCTACTTTTTTAACTTTTAATTCAAAATTTTAATAAAATTTTCAATGAGGTTTTTTTTCTTTTTCAAAATGGTTTTAAACCGATACTTTTGTAAAGTGGATAAGGAAAATGTATACAAACTGTTATTTTTGTCTAAATATAACCACTACATCAAAAATGTAACTTAGCTATTAGAATAGTATTGAATATAGGAGATACATTTTGTTTATGAATCAAACTAATATATTTGGCATCAAACTAAAAAACTAGCCATGTCATCATACCTAAAATAAAGTACAGCATTTATTTATTTAAAACGAGGCGAACAAGAAAAAAAAGTCCCTACTCAAAATATCCTACCAAAATTTTGAATTTATTTTTGTATCATTTCAAATTCTGGAAATTTGTTTGGTGATCGATGATGCAGTTTGCTATCTCAGCTCTGTAGCCAAAATGTTGTTAATATTTACTGTACAAATAGGTGACATTGTAAATTATTATGTCAAACCATGGAGAAAATCAAAATAGTATATTCATGTAATTATCAAAACTGGTGAGGAATTGAATTGATATATGTAAAATATTACAAATAATTTTTACTACCTATACTTATACACAAACATAAAATCCTTGGGCAGATTTATGCAACGACACATGGTAGATTACAATACTTGTATCTACAACATGTACTAATTAATATTGTTAACCCTAGCTTTCACCCCTAAGTAACTTTAGTAGACTCTACCATACATTTATCTGGATGAGTCCATTCTGGTCTACAGTGGTGGTGAGGTTATTAAAGAATATGAAATTGAAGTTTTACTTTATACACAAACAATGTATGTATAAAACGTTTCAAGATTGGCTGGTCGATCCCTTTGTTAATAAATTTCCAAACTTTTTTTTCACAATCTGTATAGATCCAGAAACTGCTGCCGAAGGACTGTATTATTGTTAGTGAGGGTTCCTCCACAATGGATATTAGTAGGACCATGATCCCAAACAGCCTCCCGCGACACAGGTAATCTCCGCAGTCATAATGTTATGGGCGGATTGGTCGAGTGGTTAACACTCCGGCCTTCCGCGCAGGCGGCCAGGGTTCAATCCCCGAATTCGCCGTATGCATGGATATTCAGAGAAACGGTTTTTCTCCTGCCCACACAACTCCAATAACCTAGGTGGGGTATAAAATGGTCTGGGGTGGGTGTTGCGGTATCTGTGTTGTAGCATTCAAGTGAGATTGCACTATAAATGATGCTGTTGGAAGCATAGTTTCACTACAACCAGAACACATTACACCTCCAGCACACATGCAGGCATACATGGAGATATTAGCATGGTCCTTCAAATTCTACAAAAATTGTGTTGATTAATGTATATGCTAATTGTATTAATTGTTTATCTATGTACTGTAAATCGGTTTAGAATGGCTTTTGTTATAGATAGATAGGGTGTTATATCAAATGTTGTATATTATTATTATAATCATATTTAGTCAACAAATTCTCTGCTTATTTGCCTCTTGTCTTGAATATATTGATCTGTCACTTTATTTGTGTTGTCCTTAAACTTCCAATCAGTTGTCTGTGAATCTGTACATAAATCTGGTGTGTAATTTGTGCAGGTTGATAACATTGCCCTCATTGCGGAGGTAGAAAAAGGTGAAAATTAAACTGCGGCAAAAATTTCCCCATGTACAGTATCTGATTAAAAAAAACACTCAACAGACAAAAGAACTGACAAAAGAAACCTTGTTGTAGGTTGGATGCGGGAACCTACGGTACTATGGGTGTGGGCCTAGGCTTCGCAGTAGCAGCAGCAGTCTGGTGCAGAGACCACGCTCCGGAAAAACGGGTTGTCTGCATCCAAGGGGACAGTGCTTTTGGTTTCTCAGGAATGGAAATTGAAACTCTCTGTCGGTAAGCCTTTCTGATGTAAACTTACAAAACCGATTATTTGGTAAAGCTCTAACAACACTTCCTATTGAGGGAGAAAGCTCTTAACAAAATTTGAGCAGGAATAAGTTCTCAGTTGTCAACTCTAAAACAAAGCACAGGTATATAATGTGTAAGGTAGCATATATCCTTAACTCTAAGTCAAATCTCAGGTATATAACGTGTAAGGTAGCATATATCCTTAACTCTAAATCAAATCACAGGTATAATGAGTATAACACCTTAGCTCTGCCAATATTACAGACTTATATATGGTATAATGTAGCATTTAACATTATTATATGAAATTCGGTAATATACTTAACTCCTTCACCCCTGAAATTTCATAATGAACTATTCCAACCTTTGAATTGGAGGAGTTTGAATGTGTCTTCAGGGGTGAATAAGTTAATAACCTCTTTATAATATTTTTAAGAAGTAGTCCCATTGTGCTGATCACAGTAAAAATATCATAAGGGGTCTTCTGAAAAGATAACAACAATATAAATATAATGATATTTATTTTAGACAGCTTCAATGCCATAAATGTCTATTAATTGCTAAATACTTTTAGAACAAAGGAATTAATAAAAAATATTTTTACAACATTTAAAGAATAATTACATTAAAAAGATTTTAGTCATGGCAACCTATTTAGATATTGTGACCAAAGAGCACTAAGTCATTGGCAATTAAGTGTAAGTTAACCCTTTCTCCAGTACTATTGACCATAATGGACTCATCCAGATCAATGCATGGTAGAGTTTATTAAAGTAACATAGGGGTGAACGGGTTAAGGTTGTAATGAGAAACGATGCTGTGACATCCGTACATATCCTTGTGTTCTATTTACAGCTACAAATTACCAGTGATTATCATCATCATGAACAACAACGGTATCGGTTTCGGTATGGATGATGACTCGTGGCAGTCTCTGTCTGAGTCTACAGACCTCACTCTCACGTAAGTTACTTCAGTCCTCATTTGTTGTGTTGAGGTCAGTAACAGACTAAGTACTTCAGCTAGGGTATATGTAACTTAACATGCTTATGCACCTTGAAGAATATGTTCTACAACTCTTTTGTGACCTTGACCTTTGTGAATTTCATTTATTTCATTTATTGGCGGAGTCGGGCATAACATGTTTTACCGACACAATTCTAGTTTAATTCTAACAATTGCATCTAAAAGCCATAAATGGTGCTGTATGCCAAAAGTAAGTTTGTACATTGAAATTTGTCTTTACAAGGGGGATACTTTTTTTTATATATTTTGGGGTAGATATGACGGAAAATAAAATCAGCCATTTGTGACCAAAAATTATGCATGACAGATATTAAACGAGTCTATAAAGGCCGGTGTCAGTACAGTCAGATTTCACTGTTTCTGTGTCTAATGTAATTATTTTACAAGGCTTTGTTATCTCCCTTGTTTGTAGCTCTCCACCCACATCACTCATGGCAACAGCCCATTACGAGAGGATGATGGCAGCCTTTGGAGGCAATGGCTATTTTGCTCGTACCACAGAGGAGATCACCAAATGTGTCAGTGCCGCCATGAGTAAACAGCAAGTGTCCATTGTCAACGTCATGATCAACCCTATGTCTATGAAGAAACCTCAGGTAGGAGGACTACAGTTAGGAGAAAACTTAACTTGGTATCTAGTGCACTTTGAAGTGCACACATAGTGAACAAGGAAGTGCACTAGACAAAACACTGAAGTGCACTCCAGTTCAATTCAATGTTAACTACAGTGCACTATGATGTTAACTCCAGTGCACTATGATGTTAACTACATTGCACTATGATGTTAACTCCAGTGCACTATGATGTTAACTACAGTGCGCTATGATGTTAACTCCAGTGCACTACAGTGTTAACTACAGTGCACTATGATGTTAACTCCAGTGCACAATGATGTTAACTCCAGTGCACTATGATGTTAACTACAGTGCACTATGATGTTAACTCCAGTGCACTACAGTGTTACCCAAGTTTAAAGACTGAAGTACATACTCCAATAATTGTTCATAATAACTGTAGTTCAAATTTTAACGGACCATATACATGTACAAAGAGACGTTGTACACCGTCTCAGATGTTTATAGATAAATCCATAGATATCTGTACTATTTCAAAGGAGAAGTTTAAACGTACTTTTTTTCATAGCCAAAGCTAACATCACATCACATTTCATATCAATATTGTAGTGTTAGGATGGGGGGTCGGTAAATTTTATGCAATATGGTTGAAATTGGTAAGTTTTGCTATAATTTTATACTTTTAATGAAAGGTTTCTCAACAACATGACATGATAGAGTATTTCGTTTCCTTGTTTTATAAAATAAATAGGCCAATGGCTTCATTAGTTCCAACTATGCACTAAAACATATACTTAACTGAGCCAACATTTTATACAAACCAATCAAGAACATGTTTGAAAATGAATTCTACCTGTTCAAAACTGGTTTTACAAGTTGTCTCCCCTTCTATGTGTGACTTGATATTTATTTTGTTTCCCTAACTAAGTTTGATCCCTATTACCCTGGTAAAACGTTGTTAGGGTTCAAAAAAAAGTTTTAGATGAAGGAAATTGTCCTGAAATAATGGTTTACATTGGAAACAAATCTTTTGTTAAGGAATTTTCCTGAAACTGAAGCCAGTTAAAATGTCTTTCCAATAACCTAATGTGACTTACTGCCTCAGCATAAGTCTTGTTTGAGAGTATGGAACAAATGAGTGGGAGTTTGGTAGGATGATTCCTGTAAGTGTAAATAAATACCAATGTTTTAACTGCAGTAAAAAAAATTAAAAAAAATATCAGATTTAGTCAGTTTATAAATGAGTTTTATTCATTGGATAGAGTTGCACTGGTTGTACTAAGATTATTGTTTTCGTTGCAGGATTTCTTCTGGCTGACAAAGTCCAAGATTTAAGGAGGAGATGTGTTTAGACAATCAATGGACACAGATGTATTGTTTCAGTACCATGTGTGTACATGTGATGTATAAAACAGTGTGACATAATCTGTGATATTCCAGAGTCTTTTTACAACTTTGACACTTATATAGACTACAGGTCAATCGGGAACCGTTGGCACTTTCCGTAAATGGGAAAAAACTTTTTTTTTTCATCTACGGAAAGTGCCAACAGTTCCTGATTGTAAACATGTATATATATACATGTACTGTACATGTTAAGGTATACCATTGTCTGACATGTGCAATGCAGAGACAAAAAAAGATACCACCATTTTTACAAGAAGATGCGACAGTTGTGGGTGTATAGATTGTGAAATACTGTGAAAAACAATAATTGTGTTTATTGATTAATAATTTAATTATGATAAAAACAATACTTATAAATCATTTAACCATTCAGTTCAGTGGCCTTATTGGAGGTACGTACAGCTAAACTCTCTGTAACAGTGGTACCAGACAGTGTCTGTAAACAAATCTAGTATGTGAGATTGTGAGCATAAGAGAATGAAAAAGGGCTGAGATCATGAGACTCATGCTGAGATTGTGAGAATTGGCAGGTATGTAAATATTGAAATGAAATAAACCCTCAATCAAAGAATCATATTAAGAGTTGCAGCCATTTCAAACAATGTTTCCATTTGAAGTTTTACTTAATATTTATGATTTTTGAAAATTTGATATAAAAATTTACATTTTTGAAGAAAGTAAGTGCTAAATTAAAGAAGGTATGCATGTTGATTTTGACAAGTGTTGTGTGCTTGTATAATGGTGTGTATGGAATGAAAGAACGGACATTTTATTAAATGTAATTGTGATATACATATTAAGGAAGAATTATTGTATGTTTTTGATTTCATCAATTTATCATTTCATAAGCACTTCTATTCAGATATTGTATTAAATACTTGTTGATTGTTGAATAAAAATGACTAATCAAATTAACTACATTGTACACACTTTTTTTTAATTGATTGATAAAATAGGAAGCCATATTATTAATGGCTGCTATTGTTATGCACAAAAGCGAATCAGCACAATTTACATAAATTAATCCACGGAATTGTATTGGATGCTTTCTAAATCCATATATATACTAAAAAGCCAATAACGCATTTTAAGTTCAAACTTGATTAATGCTTTAGAAAAATATACAGAAATTACAAGAATGTAAGAAATAGGATTAAATTTGATGTGTTTGACCGGATTTTTTATCGAGAAGTAAAAAGGGGGACATTACACCATAAGGTCAAGCATGAGGTCAAATTACCCAACAAATCGTGAACTGAGGCTGAGAAGACACATTTGTGCAGTGACTGGATCCCGAATAATGTATATATAGGATCTTAAATGAGTTTTCATTTCAGATGAGATTTTATGAAAGGAGTTTTTATTTTTACGAGCCTTGCCGAGCAAAAATTAAAACTTTGAGATGAGTTTCGTAAAAGTTCATATGAAATGAAAACAAATTTAAGATACTTTTTATTACATAACCAAAATGTAGAGGGCATAATCAAACGGAGACAGACATTTTGTTGCGCCATTCACAATTTATGACGTCAGGTCATTGTCCATATTATGACATCACAATCGATTTCTGACTGGCACAGCCAATGAAAACGCTCCAGGGTATATTACACTAGTGACATACGTAAAAATATTACACGGGCGAATTCACTGCATAACAGGCCGATTATGTGATAAAATGGTGTTCATAACTTGCCCGTTCGTCCATCCATGCCAGCTGCCCAGTTAAGTATTTGTAAAGCGGTGAAATTAACTTCACTTAGCTTAATTATACTATGATATGGTACATTCAAACGCACCATGGTGTAATGAAGGATACCATCAATTTCTTTGTGACCAACTTTTCCCCCATTAATTTCGCTGTGCAGATTCGGAGATAGCAAATTTGAAGTCACGCGGCAAGCTATTTGATTGGCGGTAGGTAAAAAAACTGACCAATCGCTAGACCGATACCTGTCCTTTGAAGACTTCAGAGGAGCACCACCCGACTTCAAAGCCGGTCAATTTTACCGTTACGCGACCGCGAGATTCTTTCGATGTACATCAAAGGATCAAACTAGTCTTCTTGTCTCATTCTATGTTATCATGGACCCTGTGCAGATTCGTAGATTTTCTTTTGTGTCCCCTGCTTGGCCTGGAACAACGAAGAGACCAAAAATGGTATGCTGTTCTCACTGCAACACCAGGAACACTCTGTCTTTTCTTTCTCTCAAACCTGCAATTTCTCCCGGTGGTAATTCCTCGGGCACCTGTGTTTGTACTACATATACCTAAGAGGCTGCGAAAAGTCAAATCCGAAACAAAATGCATTAAAAATCCAGTCGACCGTTCGATATATGTTTTAATGTCCGACGTCACACATCCTATATTAGTGTTACGGCGACATCAAATAAAGAAACATACATAAAATGCAATGCAATTTGATTGGTCAACACAACGTTATCAAATACATGTACTTCAAATTACAATATGTTCACAAAGACTCGCTCAACGGAGATCGCGGAATTGGCCGAGTTGTTACGACTGAACGATAGAAAACACGTGTTTGTTCAGTATTAGGACAATGTCAATGAAAAATATATCAGATGATTTTCATGTAAGAATTGAAATGTACATTTTAAACATTTAAGAAGGAACGCATCGTTCGGCAATTACTGCCTTTCATAAAAGATACTTTAAATTTGACTAGATGATTTGAAATATCATTTTTAAGGGACAAATATCTGTGTACATTGTGATGGAACGTATTAGGTTAAGAATATTTCGATTAGTTGCTTCGAATAACGACACGACATGTGGTGAGTTATCATGCAATGTGTTTCTCTGTAAGGAGCTGAAGCGCTGAAAATAATTTTATTTAAATCTGGAAACGAACCCCTATTGATCATTGTAAATCGGTTTCAATGACAAGCAAAATAGAAATAAATTGTCCCTAATAACTTTGACGTCGATGATATAACTGTAATCCAGCGAAACGAAAATTTGGAATCATGTTGCGTTCCATTTTTTGGTGTTGAGATGACGCAAGTGCCAACTACAAATTGCCGGATACATGATGCAATGTTTTTTTCTGTTTTTTTCTTTACGAAATTAAATTTACTCGTTATCACAGAAAATTGGCATTTAAACTAGCGAGGTTTAAATTTCTTTTTTTAAAAGACTACAGGTACCTTCATACATGAATTTGTATTCAATACGAACATTCTTTAATTTGCAACACTATTTAAACAAGATTGGTCTTGTTGGTCCGGATGAAAGTGCGTAGGAGGTCTTACTGTTGGAAGAAACCGCAGAACCTGGAGAAATCCTACGTGGCCGGACAGGTGGCCCAATATCTATTTCACGTCCAATCGTCCTCCGCCGCCTTGGTGAAAGGCGTGTGCGCTGTCCACTGAGAAACTCGACTACTCTGAATTTGTATGGAGGTCCCGATATCATCTTGATTGTAATTTAGTGTGGATTTAATGTTTTATCAGATTTGTGGAAAGATAAATAAATAAATAAATACGAGCAAATATATAGAATAAAATCACTATCAGCGGCATAACTAATGCGATTCTTACTACAGAAACATTTCCTTAGTTTGTATAAGAACTTCAATCATGTAAGAATATAGCCAAAACCTATTATGAAAATAGTTGTTGTTACGAATGACATATAAGCTGGAAATCTGGAATGATGACACCCCTCCCGGAAAAAAAATCTGAATCCGCACGTGGCTATTGTCTTTTTCATATAATTTTTAATTTCCGAATCGATCCTGTGTGTTGACGCCACGGTGCCTGTTTATCTCTTTCACTGTGAGTAACAGTCCCGGAAGGAGAGGCGACAACCCCCGTGATTTATCCTTTATAATGATCTCTAAAACAAAACAAATTGTACAACTCGAGGACACGCGTTTCTATCACAAGGAAAACGATCAGGTACATACTGCTGAGAGAGGATTTTAAAGATCAATACATTTTATTATATGTATTCCCATATAATCATTCTGATAACAGTTATCTATGGTGGCTGATATATGACATTTCGTCTTTTCGCTTTGTCGCCCGCGAAATAACGCCAAGCGAATTAACGAAATAACGAAAAGACGCCAAAGCGCCAAAGCGAAAAGACGAAATAACGCCAAAGCGCCCAAGCGAAATAACGAAATAACGCCAAAGCGCCAAAGCGCCAAAGCGAAAGAACGAAATAACGCCAAACCGAAGTGAAAATAACGCCAAAGCGAAGAGATAAAATGGCGTCTTTTCTCTATGGTGGCTGATAAAGACGCCATTTTATCTCTTCGCTTTGGCGTTATTTTCGCTTTGGCGCTTTGGCGTTATTTCGTTATTTAGCTTTGGCGCTTTGGCGTTATTTCGTCTTTTCGCTTTGGCGCTTTGGCGCTTTGGCGCTTTGGCGTTATTTCGTTATTTCGCTTGGCGTTATTTCGCGGGCGACAAAGCGAAAAGACGAAATGTCATATATCAGCCACCATACTAGACACATTTAATTGCATACAATGTATGCCATTCTTCGCGCACTCCATCATCAACCAATCAATTAACGAAATGCAGATTAATAACATCACTACAAGCCACAGACCATTGATGTCTTACCTATGAGATAACTTAATTTTATGTTGAAAATGATGTTGATATATAGGTTGTAACTTAAAACACATTGCATTGAAGTACAGCACACATATTGTGTACACACTCACATATTCACATACACAAACTTGTATATAAAACATATACATGTAACGTCAATAAAATACAAATATTCAAAAAGATGTTTTTTGATCGCAACTTTGAATGATGATTTACTTTTTATCTTCCTGATACTTTCTGGTACAGAATTCCAATCCTTAGCAGCATTGTAATAAAACGTGGTAGGTTCTGGCCCGCTCACATTTGGAATATAAAAAATGTATTCACTAGATCTTGTATAGTGTTGCTGCAGTTCTGTTAGCCTTTTGAAGTCTGTTTTAAAATAGAAGTGGTATATGTCATTAAAAATATTAAAAGCATGGTTTACTCTGAGTTGTTTTACTCTGTTACAAACATTAAGCATATTTAGACTAGAGAATTCATCGTAA